ATACCTGTAATAAAACACAGGTTGGAGGGGCCTCTTTGTCATGCAGGATTGACGGCAAGTGATTGTGTCTCCCCTAAAGCGATGCAATGGCCTTCTTAAAAAGTATCCAAGCCTGACTCAGACACAGTCAGAGATAATGCCTGTTTGGCCTATTTGAATTTAGTTCTTGAAGTGATGAGTGAGAACCTGACCCTCCCCAAATCAATCTGAATACTAATTGAACCGATATGCTTGCCATAAAGCATCACTGTTGATGACAAATGTAGTGAAGCACAACAAAAAAGGCATTAAGGGCATCATAGAAATACCAGATTTTCATCTTAGGACAAACAGTAATTACACTATATGCTTAACTTTTCTGTGCTCATGTTGGCTTAACTCTAAACTGGCTAATGAGCATTCTGCCTGGTCTGAGCCACTTGGACTACAATTTGTAAAGGATTTGGTCTAATGGAGAGGGAGGCCATATTATATTTAATGAATGAGATGGAATATAATTAATTTAAAGAGAAAGCTACCATGTTGTCTCAATGAACAATCCCCTTCTGTTTTGTCCTCCCAAATTCTGGGTCAGAATTGCCAATACTTTCTTTTGTATGGGTAGATCTTAATAGGCATATACACTTTTATAAGTGTATCATTAAATTAAATGTATATATGCAAAGTTAAAGCATCGAAATGCAGGCATATATATGGACACACAACTACAAATTTTAAAATATAGACTACCTTCCTTTTATAACCCTGCTTGAGATTTCTCCAGGCATTGGTCATATCATCTCAAGCTTTATCCCCTTTATTGAACATAATGTAACGGTAGTCTTCAACTTAAAACAGTTTGTTTAGTGACCATTCAAAGTTACAATGGCAGTGGAAAAAGTGACTTATGACTGTTTTTCACACTTATGACCAGAGGTGGTATTTAGCAGGTTCTGACCAGTTCTGGAGAACCGGTAGCAGAAATTTTAAGTAGTTTGGAGAACCAGCAAATACCGCCTCTGACTGGAGATTTTACAGTATTCTTCTCCTGTCACGCCCACCAAGCCACGCCCAAAGAACCAGTAGTAAAAAAAATTGAATCCCACCACTGCTTATGACCACAGCATCTCTGTGGTCATGTGATCAAAATTCAGATACATGGCAGCTGACTCCTATTTATGATGGTTGTAGTGTCCCAGGGTGATGTAAATCAATTTTTGCAACTTTATGACAATCAAAGTCAATGAGGAAACCAGATTCATTTAACAACTGCAGTGATTCATTTAACAACTATGACAAGAAGGGTCGTAAAATGGGATACCCACTTAACAATTGACTTGCTTAACAACAGAAATTTTGGGTTCAGTTGTGGTCATCAGTCAAGGACTATCTGTAAATTGCTTTCAACAAAATGGAAGTTATTTAAGAGACAGATTATTCCCTGGAGGTCATTAATTAGAATAATAACAGTATGTTCTGCTTTGTGCTTAAACATCTCCTCAGAATTAGAAGAATTTGTCCTATTTGCAGCCCACCAGTTACAATCTGAAATCAAGCTGCTTTCTCTGAAATGATGTTTTTGAACAATGTATTGCAGACAAATTTAAGGATTTCTCTCCCCAAACAGGAGTATCTAATTAAAGAAGGAAATCTGAGCCGAGGAGCTGTAGATATGATTGGAAAGTTACTGAATGAAGATTCTAGCTATTACCTGTCTTTTATTGAGAGCCTGAAAAGTGATGATCTCTTCTCTTACGAAAAAAGGTAAGCAAACCTGTATCACTTGCATTGTCCCAATTTAAAGATTAAATCCTTGTTTATCCATTGAAGGATCCATGGGAATCTGCAAGGGACCGGAGATAAAAATCTGCAGGAGGGCAGGCACATGGTCCCAGTCAAATCCTCCCTATATTGGTGTGGGAATGTACACAAACCCTTAACTCTTTGCTACCAAATAAAGTCATGGCACAGTCATGTTGGATATAACCCAACATTAACCCAAACCACAAGCTAGCAACTGAAACCAAAACTAACATACTATTGCAGTTGCAAGAAATGGCAATTATCAGTAATGGTAATATTATCGGTAGATATTGATTTTTATATCAGTTAGAAATGGCATATGAAGTAGATTGTCATTTCTGCAGTCTTGTTCTATGTGTAACGTCTCCTCTGCTTTAGTTAAATCATTAGGTTGCCAGATATCCTTTTTGAAGCATCCTGAAAACCAAAACTTGGGACTAACATTATGGATTGTAAAGATAGCATTTTATGTTAAATCATTCTACAAGGCACAAAGTATTACTCTGTATTTTATTAAAACACAATTAATTCTAAAATAGACAAAAGGTATCAGAATTTTGCAAACTTTGTTCGAATTGCAAATATTCACACAGTCAGTTTCTATATCAAGGCTTGTTGTATAGCATTTGCTTATCCAAACTATACACAACTCAATAGGAACTAAGTTGTTCATTTCAACTCAGGCATAAATTTCCCTTTTTATATTCTCCCTCATCTCAGATTTACGTAGTCATACTTGACAGATATTTCTGAGTAGACAACTTGAGATAATGCCATCTTTTCTTCCAAAAATAAATATTTTTACACAAAATACGTTAAAAATGTAAAAATATTTTATCAATATATATTTTCCTAGGATAAATTTGTATAGATAAAATGATATTGCCAATAAATTTGAAAGGCATTTTTAATCAAACTTATTTCATATTTCAGATGTCTGCTTATTTAAGAATTAAACAAAAGCATTATGATAGTAATATCTTTTGTTTAATGGCCCTTCCAGGTGAGATCCCTGATATAGTATCACTAGATATTGTAACATTGTAAGCCACCCAGAGACACCTCGTAGTGAATAAATTTGATAAGAAAAAATAATAAATAATAGATAGCAAAGTAAGAATAAAGCATATTTTTGCTTTCTTTCAAATCTGCTGTCAACTTCTTTTCAAAACTGTTTTCATTTCATTGTCCTGTGACTAAATGGCTTTTTATTCACTAATATCATTATCCAATTTTAGCAGAGCAGTTTTTTACTTCCTCTGTCCTTTTTGGTTTTGCAGATTTGATGAAATTGTTGGTGGATTTGATCAATTGCCTATATCCATGTATCAAGCCATTGCGGAAATGGTGCATTTAAATGCTCAAGTAATCAAGATACAACATAATGCTGAGGAAGTCAGAGTGGCATATCAAACTCCAGCAAAGACCTTGTCATATGTGACAGCCGATTATGTCATTGTATGCTCCACATCAAGGGCCGCCCGTCGCATCTATTTTGAACCTCCCCTTCCACCAAAGAAAGCACACGCTTTGCGGTCTATCCACTACAGAAGTGGCACCAAGATCTTCCTCACTTGCACTAGGAAGTTTTGGGAGGCTGATGGCATTCATGGTGGGAAGTCCACAACTGATCTTCCATCTCGATTCATCTACTACCCTAACCATAACTTTACTAGTGGCGTTGGAGTTATTGTGGCCTATACCCTTGCTGATGATGCCGATTTCTTTCAAGCTCTTGATATCAAGACCAGTGCTGATATTGTCATTAATGACCTTTCACTCATCCATCAGCTGCCCAAGGAAGAGATCCAGGCCCTCTGCTACCCCTCAATGATTAAAAAATGGAGCCTGGATAAATATGCTATGGGTGCTATAACCTCTTTCACTCCTTACCAGTTTCAAGATTTTATTGAAACAGTCGCTGCACCTGTAGGCAGAATCTACTTTGCAGGGGAGTACACTGCCAGAGTTCATGGTTGGTTGGACAACACAATTAAGTCAGGGCTGACAGCAGCAAGAGATGTGAATCGTGCTTCTCAGAAGCCATCAAGAATCCAGCTGATCAGTGACAATCAACTTCAAGAAGGAGGTCAACACAAGGAGAATTATAAACAGCCACTTTCCCCATTCTGGCAACTTCTAGGTTTTTCAGACTAAAATTTCCAAAATACCAACTGGGAATTCTAGAAGCTGTAGTCCCAGGAGTTTGGAGCTAGAAGGAATTGGGGGAAGTAAGCTGATTTGGCCTAACTAAATTATCAAATTATATCAGCCAAAACATGTCAAACTAAGAGCATTTTAGGGGAAACAAAAATAAACCACAGAATGAAAAGGATTACTAGCATGTCACCCCAATTTGGAAAGGAAATCCTCGCAGGAAAATCTATATATACTACGAAAACTCTCATTTCTGTAACCTTTAACTGGGCGAAACAGTGCATTATAGGGCAAGAATTTTTGAACCAAAAATACCTCTAGTGGGCTAACTTACAAAATGCATCCAAAATCCAGAACCCATGATTCTCCTGGAAGTAAAATTTGGCAAATTTTATGAAACATTTTATGAAATGATACAGTTTCCTGCTTGAGTGGGAGGTTATATTAGAAGACCTCTAAAGTCCCTTCCAACTCTGTTATCCTGCAAAAAAAAGTATCATAAAAACAGCTTCTGTTATAATACAAGATGCCATAAAACATTTACTGTGCTGATGTTTTATTGTGCTATACAGTTCTCCATGCACTATTTTCAAGGCAGATACAAAAGTTGGGAAAGTGTCCCAACTTTTCATTGAATGTAGTACATTAGCTCTGCCATTGTTCATGTGATTGAGGAATCTAGTAAAGAACTATTTCTAAAGGGATGACCAACAAGTCATGGATTGTCTAGTGCTCCAATAAAAACAGGATCCTCCTGTTGCCCTTTCCAAAAAGGAAAGGAGAAGAAACAGGCAATTGCTGTTAAGGTGGCTTTGTGAGTTTATGCTACTACTTCATTTTAAAATATCTCATATGTATGACCATATTTCTTTTATATGTAAAGCATCTACTGGTCCTAAGCTTTGATTCTATATTTCCTGCAATTGTCAAAAATTGCCAGTGCTACAGTGTCACTGATGGGGAAGAAAGCACATTATGGCATCAAGCAGGCCTGTAGACAACCGTAATTTGTAACTTCTCCAGTTTGTAACTTCTCCAACCTTCCTGTGACTAGAGTTTTAGAAAACCAGGAATACAGAAAATGGTAATAAAAACATACATTATAATTTTCCTTGCCTCTTCAATTTGTTTGTTTGTTTCTGCTTTGGCTTGGGCCGAGAGATGGAGAAATCCCTGGGACTCTAAACTAGCTAAACGAGTTTAAATTAATCTGGTTTTAAATTTAAATTAAATTATTTTTTAAAATTAAAACCACTTTTTAAAAAATGCAACATGCTTTGCATTTAGAACTGCTAATTATTAGAAATTCTGTATAAGAACAAACAAGCAGTACAGTCAACATGTGCTTTACTGCTCAACTATGTAACTGTAATAGGAAATGCTTCTTAGACCAAAAGAGCATAGAGTATATACCATAGATCTAAACTGTTATATACTGTCATCTACTGGCTAAATACTACTGTAGTTGTTGCATAAAATACATTCCAACGATGAGTTCCAACACTAATGAATGGGTGGGAAGAAATCTTAAATGAATGAAGTCTACAGTCTCAAAAAGATAATGTCATCTGGTTACTACTGCATGTTGTCAACTTTCACAATCCAATTGTGCAGACCAACTGTAGAATTCCCAGGAGTAGACAGAAATTAACAGCTAAAATAGGAGAAGCTACTATCTCCTTGAAGCTTCTTCAAACAATCATGTATCTTCTTGTTAACTTTCAACCATGTTAGCTTTTCTGATGAGCAACTTTTGAACAAGCTGACATGCTATTGCAGGGGTGTCAAACTCATGGCCCGTGGGCCAGATGTGTTATGTGCTGGCCACATCCACCCCTCTTTTAGCAAAGGAGGGGAGTTGCAATATGTCACGTGATGACAATGTGGTGATGCAAGTTGACACCCCTGTGCTATTGTACTTGTGAGTTTTTCTAATAAAGTTATTGCCCTGCATTAAAAAATTTTATATGGTCAGGATGGCTATTTTTGTGCTTTTAATAGATATTTTATCTGATCTTCTATATGAAGAATGGCAAAGAACTATTCATGAAGTAGTTCCTTTGTTTTGGAAGAGCTCTTTATGTTCCTGCAGGTTAATTCGACAAAATTATTTCTCAATTATTCTTTACTAAACGTTATATGCCAATAAAGACAATTGTTGCAGTTATCATTATGTTTCCATGGTCCTTATCTGCCATTATTTACCACAGATAAGAACCACAAAATCATGATGGTGACTGGAACAATTGTCTTTATTGGCACATAAAGTTTAGTATATCTATTAAAAGCACAAAGTAGCCACCCTGGCCATACAAACATTCTAATGCAGTGTTGGAAGAATTATCCTTCTGGGTTCAGTTCCAAGTGGGGAAAAAGACACTGGAAACATGGAGGCTATTTGAAAGGTTTAATGGTGGACAGGACCACATGGCCTGGACCTCCAGAGTGAAAAGGAAGGATGATCACATGCTTCAAGGTGAAGGAAGAGGTCAAGAAAAAAAGGGCTGATATGCTGAAAGTGCCTGGGTGTCGGGCTTCAATGACGCCACTATACTCCCCGACGGAGTGAAGTCTGACATGTTGCCATGGTTAGGGGCGAGTGTTCCAGTCCTGACAATCCCGAGATGGGCCAGTTTAGATGAGGATTGACAGCTCCAGGCAAAGCACTTCTTTTCGGTGCGAATGGCTGAGTGGAGAACCGTTCCTACCTTTAGACTGGCTTATCAGCTGTTTGGCGTTTCACGTTTTTCACATAGGTAGTGGTGAGAAGAGACAGGAACATGAGTACATGGGGGAGAAGAAGGAGTCTATACCAGAGGCAGCGCAGCCAGCAGTGAGACCAAAAACAACCAGAGAAGTGCGATTGAGTGAACTTGTCCCTAAAGGGGATAAGTTGCAATAACCTCAACAAATGGAACAAACATTAGATTGGAAAGTCAAACGGTGGCCTGGATCAGAAGAAAGCTGGTGGATGTTTCCACGAAGTGATACAATAGAACTTCTACATCATCAATTTGGGGAGATGTCGTTGAGAGGGCGGACGGATAGCGGCTCTTTGGTTCGTAAATAAGCCTTGGCTTCTGACAGTGGTTCTTTTAACATATCTAGCTCACTGGAGTTTCGAGAATCCGATGTTGGGAGAGGGTTGGAATGGTCGGACTTACATTCCAGGGAATTGGATGAGAGAAGTGTAGGGGCCGAAAGTTATTCCATGCGACCTAGTTCGATGGGAAGACAAGATATGGAATATGGGCCCCGTTGGGAAGGAAAAACACAAGGGAGGTGGGGACTACTTCCCCTGGCAGCTACTTTTGATGGTTCTGTGCATAAAGTAGCTGTGTTCTTGGGTCAAATATTGAACCATTTCGAACTATGTGGCCAATGTTATCTGTCCAATTGGTCTATGATTATTGCTGGTACTGGAGTACTGGTAGGGAAAGCCTATGAATGGGCAGCTGATTTATTTCGCACTAGGGCAGAAGTGCGAAATAGGGGGATATAGGACAAATTTTAGCTGCCTTAAGAACTCAATTTGAGGATACAACTGCAGATAAACGAGCAGTAGATTTGCTGGCTGTGAAGCAAAAAGGAAGAACGGCTAGGAAATATGTAGATGAATTCCAACGGGTGGTCAGTAAACTTCCTTTATTACCAGAAAGTTTGTTGATACATCTCTTCAAAGAAGGTCTGGATCCTAAATTACATCAAGCTTGCCTTTATAGTGGTTCACATGTTAATCTAACTGATTGGTATCAAGTATCCATAGAATTAGATGATGGACTTCAGCGTTTGAAACCAAAACTCGAAGGTGTTATACAAGCACGTAAGACTATGAATCTGGTCATCAAACCTCAGACTAGAGGAGTCCCAATTCCAACTAGTAGGGGCATACTGAAATGTTTTCGATGTGATAGACCGGGACACAGGGCTATGGAATGTCCTATACCACCTTTGACATTGGACAGGACACCTCGCACTGGTCCAGAGAGTAATAGAACTAAATCAGTTAGAAGTGAGTGGCGTGGACAAGAGAAAGTGAGGGGTGTAAAAGGCAAATTGCCAGATGTTCACATTGAAGAGGACAGTTCCAGTATGCCAACTACAGTTTTGGTTGACAGTGAATTAGAAGGTGAGATACCTGATGATCCAATGGTAAGTAAACCTATCCATCCTTTTATTATACCTGTTTCCTTATTGAATAAATGGTATGAACAAGGAATCAAAGTGGGGAAACTAATTGATTCTGGGTGCACGAGGTGTTTGATAACTAAAGTGGTGGTGGATAAATTAGATTTAAAAGTTATTAAACTGGGGGTTCCCATTAAATTTGAACAGGTGGATGGGTCTATCTTAGGTGGGGTTCTGGCAACCCACAGAACTGAATATGTTAAAATGGTGATGGGTGAGCACTGGGAGTGGATTTCTTTTGTGGTGGTTCCTCTTATGAATGAAGCATTAATTCTGGGTTTAGCCTGGCTTGATAAATGGGAGCCAATTATAACCTGGGAAGGAGAGTATCACAAGCTAAAATTGGTAGTTGGTCCCCATCCACCAAGTCATAATGAAATACAGCGAGCATCTCAACATGTATTGAAAGAGGAATCACAGCTATTACCAGTATGATTCTATCCAATTGAATATGAGGATTTGGCTGATGTATTTAAGGAAAGTGGAACTGATTGTTTGCTGCCGCATCACCCAACGGATTGTGCCATAGAATTGATTGTAGGAGTACCATTGCCCAAGCCACAAATGTATTCTATGACTCAAAAAGAATTAGAAGAAATGAGGAAATATATTGACAAAAATTTAAAGAGGGGTTTTATTACCCCAGGTTGGTCTCATATGGCAGTACCTGAGAAAAAAGATGGTGGATTATGACTATGTGTAGACTATCGAGATTTAAATGCGATCTGTGTGGAACCTTTATATCCGTTACCACTAATGAAAGACTTGCTTACTACATTAGCACAAGGCCATATATTTACAAAACTTGACCTACGAGAAGCATATTATAGAGTACGAATTCGAGAAGGAGACGAATGGAAGACAATGTTTAATTGTCCACTTGGTAGTTATTACTACAACATGATGCTATTCGGAGCTCCAGCTGTATTCATGCAGCTGATAAATGAGGTGTTACATGAACATTTGTATAGAGGTGTTTTAGTTTATTTTGATGATATTTTGTTTTATTCTAATTCTGAACAACACATTCAATTAGCAAGACAAGTGCTCAAAAAAATATTAGATGCCCAACTTTATGTGAAACTCTCAAAATGTGAGTTTCATACTCAACAGCTGGATTACCTGGGTTACCATATTTCTGAATGAGGTATTGAGATGGACCCCAGGAAAATAGAAACTGTATTAAAAAAACAAGCCCCTACCACCAGGAAACAGTTGCAAAGTTTCTTGGGATTTGCAAACTTTTATAGACAATTTATTCCATGCTTTGCCAATATCACTTTACCTTTAACAGATTTATTAAAGACCAAATCTATCGGAATTAAAAATCCAAAAACAAGTACTACGTTACCATGGATAGATAAATGTCAAAAGGCATTTAATAACCTAAAGGACTTGTTTGCAAAAGAATCCGTGTTGAAACATCCAGATGTAAATTTACCATTTATTGTCCAGGCAGATGCCAGTGATGTAGCAGTGGGAGCTGTGTTACTGCAAAAGAATGTGGAAGGGTTTTTACAACCATGTGCATATGCTTCTAGGAAATTCAATTCAGCTGAATGTAATTGGGCGATTTGGGAGAAGGAAGCTTTTGTGGTTCGTTGGGCATTATTGACATGGAGGGTATTATTGGAGGGTAGTTCAAAACCTTTTGAGGTATGGACTGACCATAGAAATTTGGAAGCCCTCCAGAGTCCACATCGCTTATCACCAAAGCAAGTTTGCTAGGTGTTGTTTATTAGAAGATTTAATTTCACATTGAAATACGTACCATCAGGAAGGAATTTTATGGTGGATGCTTTATCCCGACTTACTCAATATCATAGTCAACATGAGAATGTAATTTAACCGCTCATACCAATAATTGACTGATCTGAGTCATTAAGAACAACTATACTTGTACCAGATCTGCCTGTGTTGTTAGCAGAAGATCAATGGTTAACAAACAACATAAATCAAATAGAAATGAGACATGGTATTGCCAGGCATGGAACTAAAATTTATGTGCCGAACATTTTAAGATCAGTGGTGTTAAAAAGATTGTCATGATGTTAAGCAGGCAGGACATTATGGGTTTTTAAAAACATTACATTTAGCAAAACGACAATTTTGGTGGCTAGGCACGCGATCGAATATTGAAACTTATGTGAAATCATGTCCAGTGTGTATAGTAAATAAAACGAAAATAGGAAAGCCAACAGGTTTATTGCAATCAGTATCTGAACCAACGAAACCTTGGCAAGACATTGGGATGGATTTCATAGTTGATCTACCAGATAATAACGGATATATGGTGATATGGAGTATTATTGATTTGTTCTTGAAACAGGCATATTTTGTACCTTGCAAAGGAATACCATCAGTTAGAAAGTTAGCACAGTTGTTTATACAACATATTTATCCGTTACATGGAGTGCCTAGAAGAATTATACCCGATAGGGGAGTGCAGTTTACGTCAAAGTAACTTTAACAAAGGCGGGGGTGAGCTTCTACTTCTGAGATGAGTTTCTGCTTTTGAGTTTCTACTCTCTTTTAGAGGAAATATTCTGCCTTTTTAATATTTTCCAGGATATTTCATTTTTCTAGGAGACGGGTGGGTGCTAACTTCCTACAGCAGGATGCATGTAAATGTGACCCTATACAAGTAGTCCTCGACTTACAACCACAATTGAGCTCAAAATTTCTATTGTTAAGTGAGTTTTGACTATATGGATAGCCCATGTAATTTTGGGGGGCAGCTTTATAGAAGAGGTTTATCCCCTTTTTTCTGGGATTTTTCAGTAGTCTCCCATCCAAACACTCATCAAGTCCCACCTTTCTTAGCTTACCTGGGATTAGCCAAGATTGGTTAGGAGCTGCTCGTGTCATTTGACAACACCTTGATACATAATTTATTGCCTGGATACCAGCTACTCCATTTTAAAAACTTCCCGTATGTTCTAGTGTCTTTGAATGACTTGAGATCAACAAGGGTAAAAAAGAAGTGGACAAATTTTGAGCATCTAATAGCGATCATTGAATTCATTTATTCACTGCAATTGCCAATATGCAATCGGTTAAAAGTATTGGTTGGTATCTATAAAGTCCTACATGGCCTAAGACCTGGCCATGACCACCAGTCCCATAGTACTGATTTGGTAGGGTTGGCATTCTCTCAGTTCCTTCAATTAAACAATGCTGTCTATCAGGACTATAGCGGAACCTGCTCTCTGGAATACTGAGATCTGGATAGACCCCATCATTTCAATTTTGGGAGAGCACTGAAGACTTGGCTCTACCTCCAGGCCTTTGGCAAGCATGACTGATGCTCCCTTTTCTTTTCTTTTCCTTTGTTCTGCATTTGTTATCACTTGTCACTTTTGTTCTTTTATTGTTCTTTTGTTGTGTTGTTTTTTGTTTAAACTGTGTTTTTAGCAGTTTGTAAACTGGTCAGAGTCACTGAGAGGCAGTATATAAATTTATTAGAGTTCGTTGCATAGTCAGCTAGATGTTTAGACTGTTTGAATTTTTATCCACCTATCAAGTCCTTCCCAAAGACCTGGGATAGGCAGGTTTTTTTTTAATAATGTTAAAGGTATCGTTGCAAGATGTAAGCTGTTCCAAGTAAAGCTGCCTTTTGCAATTGACGGATGGTGATTTTTGTCAATGCTGATGGTGTTCAAGTGGTGCTTCTGAAGTTTTAGGATTGCACCCAAGGCACCTATCACTCTTGGTATTATCTTTGCTTTCTTTTGCCACCGTTGTTCTGGTTCTGCTTGCAGGTTTTTGCATTTTATTATCTTCTCCAATTCTTTCTTTGCTATTCCTGTTTTTCCCAAGACAACAAGTACCCCTATAAGATGGATTGGGGGAGGGGAGAGAGAGAGAGGCAGGGAGAGAGAGAACCTGCCCAAAGTGACCCATATATTCCAGTGCACCGTTGTTGCTGTTTTGCCGTGCTGTTATTTGTAATCAGTCAGCGCAATGCACATATAGCAATTTGATCATTTTTTCATGCTTATATTGAAGCAGAAAAACTAGAACTACTGAGCAAGGGGAATTACTGTTATTTGTATACTCTTGTAAGATCGCCTGCTACAGGAAAAATGCCATGCATTGTATGCAAACCCGGCTATAGTTTTATCTGGCCTTTCCTTTTAGATATTAAATGACTATTAAGTACTCTTGTTTTGGTGTTGGATTCTTTATCTTGATGCCTCATTTTGTGTGGTGAATTCTGGCACAAAGGAGTGATAGAAATTGTAAATTATGCTGAGTAAGGAAAAGACAATCTATTAAGTAACCCATGTGTAGAAAATGTATACATTTAACAAGTGAACTCTTCAGAAATCTGTTGAAGTTGAACTTGAAGAAAAAAATTGAAAAGCAACGATTACATTTATGAAAACAGCACCTCGAAGAATTACTCCATTTTATAAAATGTTTTATAAAATGTAATTTTATAACTTTATAAAATTATAAAACGCGCTGAAGGTCTTGAAGGATTATCTTCATTTCATAAATATACTCATTTGGGCATGAGTATATTTATGCAATGAAGATATGCAGGGAACAAAATATGTTCCCTGACCGGGAATCGAACCCGGGCCGCGGCGGTGAGAGCGCCGAATCCTAACCACTAGACCACCAGGGAAGTTGAACGATAGTTTTCTTAAAGGTCTTATCAGGCAATATTGCCTTTTTTTTTTTTTTTAAACACTTTCTTTTCAATAAATAGTTTCGTATTTGGTGGCAACGTTCGTTTCATCCCCAAAGTCAATTTTTTATAGTATTAGTACGTAACAAAATAAATCTCAAACCAAGGCATTGATAGTTTAATAAACTCACCAGATTAACTAACACTATCTTTCTTTCTGAGACTATTACTTTAACCTACAAATTAACGGAAAGAAATGCTTTTTTTCATCGATCCCGGAGACTGCTTATTTTTTTAGAATGCGGCTACATCCATTCCCATATAGATCAAGAAATGGATCGAGAAAGACGTGGACCGTATGGGGATGACGCTTATCTTTGAAGATAAATTTGAAGAAAAAAACCGAATTCCAAATAAGTTTCAAAAGAAAATGTTCTCAATATTACACGTTGAAAGTATTTTAAGACTTGCATTTATGATTCCCATTTCATACCTCTCCTATATTTCCTATTCTCATTTCCTATTTTAAAATTGTACGTTTATGCCTCAGTATGAGGACGTCAAAGAAGTCGTCAAACAGACCAAGCGAATGCGTCCATGCCGTCCCTAGGAGTTGAGGACCCCTTGAAACAGGCTTTTATTTTTAATTAAATGTTAGTCGTCTTGCTCCTATTTCTGATCAATCAGCAGTCATCTTTACCTTTCAGCATAAGTATAGATTTCCAGTAATTAAGGAAGAAAAAACAAACACAATGAATTCAAGCTGCTAAAAGCCCGATTTATTGGAAGACATGAATAAAGCCACTCAAATCCTGTTGACCAGAAAAGCAATACTACATTTCGTTTCTCTGTTGGAAGCCCCCTCACGAACATCTTCCACGTGTGTTTGTCCAGAGCAATGGTCTCTCTGCTCAGTGGATTCCATTCAACAATGGGGAGAATTTGCTGGCATCACCATAAATGTGGCATTTGTGTTGTCTATGAAGATGGCTGAAGATGGGCATCTTAGACAGTGATAGGTTACAGGATTGAGTGGATTTCCTAAGGGCAGCAAAATATTTTAAAGTCTCTAGGGTATTTTTTAAGATCTTTGGTCTTCTCCCTTTGGCTCCCTGGGAGGGGAGAAGGGAGGATGCTTCTCTAAGCACATTCAGTGCTGGTGGACTCGGCCGAGTGCTTGGCCAATTCCTTCGTCATGGCTTCCTTCAAGGCAGCTTGCACATCTGTGCCGCTGATGTTGGACAGCTCGTTCTTCTGGCTCAAGTTCTCCACTTCTGTGGCCACGTGGTCATAGACATCAGTCAGCAAAGTCTTCATCAGGCTCCTGGCCTTGGCCTCCATCCGCACCTTGGGCATTTGCCGAAGAACCTTGGCGGCAAAGAACCTTGGGGAGCAGATCCTCTCTGGACCACTGTCCACTGGCTTGGCGGCAGAGGATTGCTTGACCCGACGCTTAGGACGAGCCTGGTGCTTCTTCTTTTTCCTAGGCTGCAGTTTCTTCTGCTTTCGCTTAGCTAGTTGGTGCTTCTTTTGGATTTTCTTTCTCTTTGCATCTCTGGCTTTCCTTTTGCCTTGCTGTCTGGCAGCCATTGTTCTTTTCTCTTGAAGCTCCTGCTTGAAATGTCACCAGGCTTTTGCCAGGCAAAGTCACTTATAGACAATAACATGCAAATGAGACACCTGTATGGAGTGTGCTGATTGGGTAGCCTTACCTTTGTCGTATCCATGGAGCCATTGTTACAAAGGACAGGATTGTGATCTAATTTTTGTAATCATCAAGAAATAAAGTTTAACTCTGCCACCATTTCCTGCTTCAAGGATTTCCTAACCATATTTAAATTTTGCAATGAAAATTCATTTTTACCATCACTAAATACCCTAGTTTCTAGATCTTCATCCTCAAATCTTACTCTTATTCCCAAAATCAATTTGATTATCTTTAAACACAGAATAATACTTTGAGTTTATAGGCATCTTTACAACTTAAGTTTACCATTTCCTTGGCTCGCTGCAAATGAAGTCTGCAGTAGCCTAATATTTGGGATGAATGCTATTTTACCAAATGTCTTTGCTATATTCAATAGACAAAGCATCTTCTTAGAAAGAAATTAGAGGTAAAATCCACAGAAAACAATTTTTCACATTAGAAAATTCCAAGAAAGTTCCCCCTTCATTAGGAATTGAAAATAAGAGATAGAAGCTGCTGTGATTATTCAGACATATTTAAAAAATCAATAATTCCAAGACAATTTATATGCCAAGGTTTGAATAATTGCTCTCTTTATTTACTTCAGAACAGGCTTGAGCCACCTCCTATTCTTCTTTCCAGTTGTTAATTGCTACGAAGAGCAAGTTTCCATACTTCAATTCAGCATTTGAAATACCGTATTTGCCGGCGTATAAGACGACTTTTTTGCCCTAAAAAACATGCCTCCAAGTGGGGGGGTCGTCTTATACGCCGGTAAATACATTGTTACTCGGTGCAAGAGCGACGGGGGCGGAGCTCCGCAACTTGCGAAGCCCCTTCAAGCCCAGCCGAAGTCTCTCTTCCTCCTCCTCCTCCCACCCACCCACCCACCCTCCGCCCGGCTCGGGGCGCTTGCGGAGGCCAATCTGGAGGTGGGGTGGGGGTGGAGCGGGAGGGTCTCTGGCGGGGCCGCTTCGCCCAGCCAGCCCCGAGCCGCGTAATGGCCCGGGGAGTGGGGGGGGGGAGAAGGTGGTGGGGGTGGACTGTGGCGCCCCTCCTTCTGGGCAGCGGGGCGGGGGCGGCAATTTGCTCCTCCCGCTTCTCCCTCCCTCTTTGAAAGACCGGGAGGGCTGTGCTTGGGGCGGGGGGGGGTGTCCTCAGGAAGTTCCTGATGGGACCCCGCTGGGCAGGGCCACCCGGCTCCCGAGCTGCTTTCCAGGGTCCCCTTGGGAAGAAAAGGGTCCGGTGGGCGGTGGAAGAAGGCGAGCGCCCTCCTCCCGCCCCCTGTCCCGTCCCGTCCCTCCTCTTGTCCCCTCCTCCCCTCCCCGCTTAAGAGAGAAAGATCTGCCTCCCCTGCACCGAGCTTCCACCCGGCGCCGCGTCTCCCGGCCAGCGCGCGCTTGCGACTTGGGAACCGGCCAAGCGACTTTAAAACCGAGCGGAGGCCAGAGATAGCCGGAATTACCCTCCACACCACACACACACACACACACACAGAGAGAGAGAGAGAGAGAGAGAGAGAGAGTTGGCAGCTGTCCATCCCCCACCCTTGGAGTCCCGATGGCACGCACGCGGGGGCTGTCACAAAGAAAGGGAGAGGAATTGAGTGCCAGCCTGAGAAAGGCGAAGCTGCCTCTCTAAAGCATTTTGGTGGCTTTGTAAGTTTGGGGGAAAGGGGTTGGGGGTGTCAATCAAGAATTATATCCAGAATACCCCAAGTGTTACAACTTACCGTATTTGCCGGCGTATGAGACGACTTTTTTGCCTTGAAAAGCATGCCTCCAAGTGGGGGGGTCGTCTTATACTGCGAGTATATAACAAAAACTATATTTTGAGTGGAAATGTTGGGGGCTCGTCTTATACGCCCAGTCGTCTTATACGCCGGCAAATACGGTATACTAATTTGTAGATGAACAATAGCTACAATGAGATTTCAAATAACCACATCAAAGATCTGAGCAAGCATTCCATAGAAATTCCAAAAGCATCAGGTAATTTATATGAAAATGTAATTACAACTTTCATTATACCATGTATAAGAGCCAGCTTCTGGAGAGTTTTAGCAAATATTGTAGTTGTATCATTTTGAATACACCCAATATGTATATCTAGCAAAGCTTTGTTGATGCTAGAAATGACTGCTAGTATTGTTGTGTATGAATTTTTCTTTGTTTCATGACCAAGGCAAAAGAACTACAAGATTTCACATACCTTTATTCCATTTTTCAAGATAATTTTGCTCTTTTGATAGCTATACCATCAGTGTGTTACATAGTTAGGCTTGTCATCATCATCTGTCTGCCCACAACTCTTAGATTCTATTGTTTTAATTGAACATTTTAATCTCAAAGTCATTCCATTCAAGATTTTTAAACTGGAAATAGTGTACAAGATTTTAAACTAGAAATAATATAAAAGATACAATATACACATGAGAGCGATTAAAGCTGCTAAAATCCTGATTTATTGGAAAAACAAGATACATAATATACGATGCTCCTTTTCTTATCAGAAACCACTTCACAAATAATTGAAATCAGGTTGATTGTTCTGATTCTTCTTTATAGTATGGAATTATCTCTAGTACAGACAGAGCAGTCCAACATTTGTTTCCTCACCAGGTAGTTCAGTTGATTATCAATATGCAGAATGTTGTTTAGCACATCCCATAAACTGCATTTTCTAAGCTACTGTTGTAAGTGAAGCCAGAAGTTTAGTCAATGGGAGATCACAGGATTTCTTGGATATAATAAGGCAGCAAAAATATTGTAATGTTCCTTAGGTCTTTCTTGAAATGATCCTCTTCCTTTTCGCCCCTACTCGGGGCCCTTCCCAGGAGAGGAGAGGGCTGTTTCTTCTAAGCACTGCTGATGGGCTCAGCTGTGTGGCTGGCCAGCTCCTTCGTCATGGCTTCTTTCAAAGCAGCCTGCACATCTGTGCAACTGATGTTGAAGGGCTGGGTTTTCTGGCTCAGGCCCTGCACTTCTGTGGTTACGTGGTTGTACACATCTGTTAGTAAGGTTTTGACCAGGCCTTTGGTTTTGGCTTCAATGTAAGCCTTGAGCACCTGTCGGACCATCTTGGAGGCAAACAGCTTAGGGGAACTGAATTTCACCACCTTGCTGCTGACAGTGTTAGTGGCATATGCGTGCTTGACCCCATGTTCCAGGTGAGAATGGAGTTTCTTCTGATTTCGAGTTCTTCGACTTGGCCGGGTGTACTGATATTTCTTCCGGAGCTGGTTTCTCTTCATGGTTTTGGCCTTTCTTTTCACTTGCTGTTTAGCAGCCATTGTTCCTTTTTTTGTTTTACGTTATTGTTTTGGCCCTGCTCTCAGCAAGCCCCTGCCTTCAAATGTCACCAACCCAATGTGAGCGCAGCCATTTATAGGCAACAGTATGCAAATGAAGGAATTAAACTGAAAGTGCTGATTGGACAGTTCAAACCTTCGCTTAATAAAGAAACCATTATCACTCCAGGTGTGGTTATGATCTGGGCAGTTATGAAGTCTTATGATGTCACAGCTGAGTGGCTCACAGCAATATAGGTTACGGTTCCAACTCTATAAAATTAATACTAAAATTAAAGGTATAAGTCAAGAAATCAATTTTTTTAACAATCATGTACACTCACACACCCACGTATATCCAACCAAATATATTCCTCAAATAATTTATCACCATTAGAAATCAATCAATATTTAAATACATTAATGTTCTCAGAATTGGCTCCAGAAGATTATTCTGTTTTCTGTTTTAGAAATCACTGAAGTCTTTAATACTATTCAAAATGTCTACAGAGATTCTCAGTCATCCAGGTCATGGTTGTCCCAAAGGTGCTTTTTCAAAAAGCATCTGGACTTTCTTTGTTTTTCCTTGAAGAAGTGAGAGTGCTAATGACCAGATGACCACAAGGGACATGAATCCTTCCATTCTCCACCATTCAGTCAAAACCAAAGAAGCTTCTTGACATTTGTGTAGCGAATTTCTGTTGCTATGCGAGACATTTGTTAAGTGGGTTTTGCTTCATTTTACAAACTTTCGTGTCACATTTGTTAAGTGAATCATTGCAGTTGTTAAGTTAGTAACATGGTTGTTTAAGTGAATCTGGCTTCCCCATTGATTTTGCTTGTCAGAAGGTTGCAAAAAATGATCAAGTGACCAAGAGACACTGCAATCATCATAAATATGAATCAGTTGCCAAGTGTCTCAATTTTGATCCATGGGGATCTGCAATGGTTGCAAATGTGAAAACAGTCGTAATTCACTTTTTTCAGTGCTGTTGGAACTTTGAACAGTCACGAAATGAACTATTGTAAGTCGAGGATTATCTGTACTTCATTATTTAGAACTATCAAAAGTAACAATTTCAAGAATGTATAGGTTATTATTGCAATCAGAAACACTGGATCCACCATACAGTTTAAAGTAAGTTTGGGAAACTGATCTTGGTAATCCCACACAGGAGACAAATAAACAGAAGTTATGGAAAGCAGGAGGATTTACCTCAGTTCCAACGCAAGAAATGCAGTGGAAGATTATATAGGCTCCTATAAGGCTGGCACATATATTTCATAATTATTCTTCCTTATGTTGGACAGATTGTCCAAGAAAAGGTCATTTTTTCACTTGTGGTGTTCATGTGATAAAGTTCTACGTTTTTGGTGTAACATTTTTGGGGAGATAAATTTTAGCGCTTATTAAAAAAAAAACACCTGAATGCTCCTCACAGCTAAGGTTACTGCATTTATCTACAGGAGTAAACAAACAAGCTTAAACATAAGAAACTTATTATTTAATCTGACTAGCCAAAATATAATTATGTAACATGACAAACTCTAACATAACAGCTAAGTTGTGGATTGATAAGGTTTCTATCATGGCTACATTAAAAAAAATTAAAATCTAAATGAGACATCAGAGGCAGGAACCAGAATGTTATCAAACTTTTTATGGTTTATCTTAATAGCAGTAGACTATAATCTTATTCTACATCTGAGTGTTGTACAGTTTCCTTGCAATTTTTTACAGAAATTCTTACAAGCGTATGCTTACATTTTATAGAAAACTCATATATAAATAAAACACACAATAATGTAGTAATCAACTTATTTGAAATCATGGGCTTCACACCATTTTTTTTTTTAAATTGTGCTAACTGGACTTTTGATATGAGTAGAAACTGGAAGCAGAGCCAAATGTCATTGAGCAACAATATCATCAAGCATTTAATGCTATTTTAAATATTAAAGTATATATTCTGTTTATAATTAAATACTAAATTATTATTATTATTATTATTATTATTATTATTATTATTATTATTATTATTATTATTATTAATAAATCTCTTAATAGGGTTGTTGAGTTTTTCCTTTTTTAAAGATATTTAAAGGATTTTCTTACTAAAATAGCTATTTGCTATGCACACATTCATTTCATATTTAGTTTTAATATGTTTCATTTTAAAATATATTCTATTCTTGAGGAAATATAAATACAAAGTTTTAAATACAAATTTGAGGAATTTTCAAACATTATTGTTATTCACTCGTGTTAAAAAAAATTTGATAAGTCATCTCATGGATACTGGTTAAAAGGATAGCAAACTGTAAGAATAAAAGAAAATTAACGTATTATTTCTAGAAGGACAAGGAGTGATCGGTTCTGTTTTTCTTTTGCTTTCTTTTGGCTGAAATTGAGGCAACTGGTAACAGCAGTTTTTTAGAAATGTATAGTAAAGTATGAAAATATACCTTTTAAAAATAAAATAAGAGGCTTCTCGTAAGCAAAAAAACATTCCCTGACCGGGAATCGAACCCGGGCCGCGGCGGTGAGAGCGCCGAATCCTAACCACTAGACCACCAGGGAACTTGTAGTAAGCTTTTTCTTTAGACCTGACATAGTCCAAATGGAGCATTCTATATCTTCTGATAAATGCAATTATTTTCTGTCAAATTACAATGAGACCCAATGAAATATAGTATTATTCAGAAACTTTAAACTTGGGTTTTTCCCAGCAAGCAGAAATATAACCTGAGGTTTATTTTCTATGAAACGCTAGGATAAAGAATTCAGGAAGAGCTGGCGATTTTCATTTCTAAAATTCAGAGATCAGAATCTTAAAAGAAAAGGGGAAATGGGGAGCGGGATTATTTTCTATGCATCCGACCTTAAATTCTCTACCCCGCAAAATGCTTCTTCGCTAGCAAAGGGAAAGTGAAAATGAAATAAAAGGTGAATGCGTCCGGTCAGGATGAAAAAATGTTTAAAATGTATATTTCACTTGTTTTCTTGACATATAAGTTTGATACGCTTTTGTTGGACATATACTGAGAAAAAAGCTCCATATAATATAAGAAAAAAGGGAGTTGTCAGAAGTGGGATTTGAACCCACGCCTCCATTCGGAGACCAGAACACCCAGCACAGGGAAGGTATGAAGCCTTGAGTCTGGCGCCTTAGACCACTCGGCCATCCTGACACTCACATGGCAAGTGTCTGAAAAGAGGCCCTTTATGCTTCCATTTTGTTCCGCAAACACAAACTGAGATTTGATTTTTGTAAATCAGTTGTGATACATGCAGATTCCTTCATGTTTCCTCGGAAAATTAATACGCCACGGTAAATATTTAGGCAGCCACAAAGCATAACTACATCACAATTGGTAAATTAAACATCCAATCAAGCCACTAGATGTTTGGACGATGTTTATCGTTCCTGGGGCCAAATAGTTCCGGTTCCAACTGGGTTCTTTTTTTTTTTTTGGTAAAATTAAGACTCCTTTTTAAAAATAATCCTTAGTGCTGCCACTTCCTAATTTACTGATATTTATTATTATAAAGTTGGTCACAGCCGTAATTTGACAGGCTGTAGGACAAACTCAACGAAAATTCATTTTCGTGGCATGATTATTGCGAATTCCTAGTATTATCCTTTTGATACAACTTTTAAGTCAAAGTTGATCAAACTTTAAATCAACTTTAAGTCAAAGTTTTAGGTAGCTGATTAAAATAAAAACCCGGAGACAAATCCCCTAAAGAGAGAAGAAAACACTTAAAAAATCATACATGCAATCATTGAATATAGTTGCTAAAATCCTGGTTTATTGGCGATACATACATATTGTACATAATATGATGTTCCTTTCTCTTTTTGCAAACACCTCACAATTATTTCAAACATCTATTTAACCATGGCTCATCTTTGTTAGCCTTGGGGTTCTGGCTTAGAGGCTGATGAAATTGTCTTCAAAAATACAGGCCATTGTCCACTCGTCACTTTTAACTTCCTTCCTATTTTTCGGAATAACAATTGTGGAGGTTAAAGATAGTGCCTTAGGAAAGGTAGACTGCAGGATTTCTTATGCTTAAAAGGGCAGGAAAATAGGTTAAAGTTTCTTGGATATTTCTACAGATGTTCGATCTTCTCCCTTTGGCTCCCTGGGAGGGGAGAAGGGGAGATGTTTCTCTAAGCACATTCAGTGCTGATGGGCTCTGCTGAGTGCTTGGCCAATTCCTTCGTCACGGCTTCCTTCAAGGCAGCTTGCACATCTGTGCCACTGATGTTGGACAGCTCATTCTTCTGGCTCAAGTTCTCCACCTCTGTGGCCACGTGGTCATAAACATCGGTCAGCAAGGTCTTCATCAGGCTCCTGGCCTTGATCTCCATCCTCACTTTGGGCATCTGCCGAAAGACCTTGGCGGCAAAGAGCCTTGGGGAGCAGATCCTCTCTGGACCACTGTCTGCTGGCTTGGCGGCAGAGGATTGCTTGACCCGACGCTTAGGACGAGCCTGGTGCTTCTTCTGTTTCCTAGGCTGCAGTTTCTTCTGCTTCCGCTTAGCTAGTTGGTGTTTCTTTTGGATTTTCTTTCTCTTTGCATCTCTGGCTTTCCTTTTGCCTTGCTGTCTGGCAGCCATTGTTCTTTTCTCTTGAAGCGTCTGCTTGAAATGTTGTCAGATTTTTGAGACAATGTCACTTATAGGCAGCATCATGCAAATGGGGCTATACAGGGAAACCTGATTGGTTGGCTATCTTTGCCTTTGTTATAGCTAAGGTGTCATTGTTACATTAAAATGGTTATGATCAACAGTTTGACAGCCATTGCTATACAATGATATAATACAGTGCAGTTTCACCCCCTTCATCAATGTATCCTAAAATACATTGTAGGCCACAACGTACTTTGCTATTCGTTCATGAATAGGTTGCTACCCTTATGTTTTTAACTCTCAAACAGGAAGTATTGAAGTGGCACTGCCACTAGGAAATTACTACAGTATTAACAAGCTTCCTGTTTTCTTCATATTGCCAGGTCCTGCCCCAATCTAAACCATTTTTTGTCATGTTTTTCAAACCCATGGTGTGTGATTTAACTTGGAAATCTGGTCTGGGTACAAAGACTGAAAAGATGTGCTGATTATACAATGGTAACTAATGTAGACACATGTAAGTGTAATAAAAAAACATGAGGTAGATATATTAGCAATTAGTTATAGCTTCAGAATAAGTCCAAGGTCATGCAGGTATGGAATTTGGATTTAAGGAAGGTAGAATCAATTCAATAAATGGATTGTGATCAAGATGGCCTCTGTCTTGGAGCCGAGGTATCCTCAACCGTTTCCCACCCATCCCATAAACCACCTGAATGTAGTTGTTTTTACTGGTAACACATGTACTATGTTCATATAAAAGGCAAGGGCCTCACCATCTTGACTTTTTTTTAATCCCCTGCAGACACCCCTCGTTCTCAGTTCAATAGACTGAACAATCTGCATCTAAATTTGTTTGTTTCAAGAAGCCACGTAAGATGGCTGATGCCCTGATTGTTTCCTAGGAAGGAGAACATTGGCATTTCTGAGACACACCAATCATTTTCATTCACAAATAGGGTTTGAAGGGCTCAAAGCAGTACCGTAGTTACCCGGTAATCCCATTCCTGTTCCTAAACAAACCCAGATATTCAAGTTATGTTGCAAGTATGAAATCTTCCATTTGGGTAATCATCATAAACTCACTACGTGGTGACTTTATAACTTAACCTCCAAATCTCATAACGATTTTCAGAAGTGCTACATCTACCTTTTTCCCCCTGCCCTCTAATGTTCAGTGTGCAAGAGGGTTTGTGTTCAAGTCACACTATAGCTGACATTATTTAAAAGGAAAGAAAAACCACATGAGCATTAAATGACCTGATAAAACCCCATTTTATTATACTCCTAAGAATAAGATGTTTCTTTTCCAAAGATTTTTTTCCAGTGATGTGAGGAGTTTTCTGCAGGTCAGAAGGTTGTTGGTTCCTGTGCTTGTGTGAGATGTTCCTCAAAAAGGAAGAGATTATCAGTATCTTTAGAGTATTGTCTGGACTTTTCATCAGGTGGAAACTAGATGTTGGGGTGGGGGGCGTTGTTTTGAAGGCTGGCTCACTCTCCCCTCCTCTTGTTTGTAGATGTCACAAGGGCCAACCAAAGAAAATAGGAAGGAGCAGTTCTAATAGCGTCGTGGCTCTTTGCGTATAGTTTGGACCAAATCCATGGCGTGCTTTTTGCGCATCACTTTCTTTAATGCATTTTGTAATTCCTTGGAGCCGATGGTACAGCTCTGCTTGACTCTCTTGTTACACTGGGCCTTCTCAGACACGTTGTTGTAGAACTTCCTTATGAAGGAGATCATCTTTCCCTTTGCTTTGGTTGATATGGGTATTTTGTCCCGATGCAGCCGACGCAGGACTTTAGAAACAAACTCATCATAAGGTCGCTTCAGACCTGGCTTTTGAGGCCCACCTAGCTTTCTCACCGTTATTGTGCCCTGCTTGCCTTGTTTTCTACGTTGCTTTCTGCACTTTGGCAACAGCTTTCGGTGTGTTCTCTTCCTGCCTCTGGCCTGCTTCTTTCTCCTTGGAAACCGGGCCCTGCACTTTGGTCTGCGAGCAGCAGCCATTGCCCCAATGTCTCCAAGTTGTTTCAGTTTTTTCCACCTGAGAAAGCCACTGTGGCTTTGAGTTTTGGTTTCATTTAGCGTCTGGAGCTCCAGTGCTCTTCATCCCACTGATAGTCTGCTGGTGTACTAAGAGTTGCAAGTTCTGATGTAGGAAGGATATCCAATCAGGTTCAAGTACCTCATAATGTACTTCTTAAGCTTTCTCTTTGACAGGGGCCAACAGAAGACATTGTGACACCTTAGCTGCTCATTGGCCCTTGGCAGGATCAAGATGAAACTCAAGCAAGACCATGAGAAACGTTAATCACCGTGCATCAATTTTCACAGATCATAAAGTGTTAATTTTTAGTTTCCAAAACTCTCCCCTAAGAATGAATAACCAAACTATGGTATAATGTTAGAGTTTTTTTTAAAGACGCTTAAGTAGTAAAATATAAATATTACATTAAGAGGGTTGTATTTTCAATTTGAACTGAGAATGACTTGCAAGCAGAACATGTTTCATCACTGAGCTATCTTCTTCCCTACCTTCTTCCCAGATTGCAAATTTCATTCTACTTCAGAATTGAACTAGAAATCCCAAGTTGCAGACTAATATTTGAAAATAGAATAAAACATGGTTTATTTTACTGAGAAACAACATTGTTTAATGCTGATTTCCCAGATTCTAAGACGCATATTCAATGAAAAAAAAAGTGAAATTACTATCTTTCTAAATCCATGCAGCTCAGGAAAGACTGAGTAGAAAGATGTTTCTATGAAAATTATATAATCCCTGCACACTATGCAAAGTTTTTACTTGAGCTAAACTTTGTGTGAGCCCCCTGCCATCTTTGTTATTTAGAAGAGCCGAGAAGGCCTGCCCTTTCACTCCGGCCTTTGATGTGGGAGAGTGAGACCCCTTATTTCATCATGCTTGCCATTTTTTAATCTTTATTTTTTTATTTTATTGTACTTTATTTCACTGTAGAATCATTGAGTTGTTTAATAAATTATTGTTTGTCACACAGCCAGATATTCAGACTGCATTTGGAATTTTTGTCCACCTATTGAGTCCTACCCAAGGAACTGGGATAGACAGGTGTGAATGTTTGATTAAATTAAAGGTATCATCATATGATACCTTTAAAGCTGCTTTTTGCAATTGACTGATGGTGAACTTGTCAATGCTCATGGTGTTCAAGTGATGTTGCAGTTGTTTTGGGATTGCACCCAAGGCACATATTACTATTGGTACTTCCTTTGTTTTCTTTTGCCACCGCCATTCTATTTCTACAGTATTTGCAAGTCTGTGTATTTTGTTATCTTCAATAGTTCTTTCTCTTCTATTCTGCTGTTTCCAGGTACTGCCACATCCACTATTCAGACTTTTTAAATCTTTCTTATCAACAATTAGTATTATTATGACAGCGGAATGTTTTCACTTTTCCAAAAATTACAATAAGCAGCAAAAACCATAATTTTTCCACATCTTGCTTATCATCCATCTGAAATTATGGATCTTGAAAGGGCATTGTTCCATAGCCAGACAGAAAACAAAATTATGGGAAACACCAGTTTTTGACAAGTAACATACTAATCTCAATTTATACAACAAAAAAGAAACACAAGACAGAAAAATTGGAGAAAGATTTGAATTGCAGGAAAAGATATCTGGACATCTAGCACTGGATCCATTTCAAGTGCACATAGTTAAAACTTGGATTTGAGATTCCAACAGTCATCCCACCTCCAGTCAAATGACCAAACTTTGGGCACTAGGCAACACGGCTGCATTTACAGCCATTTGCAGCATTCATGACCGCATAATTGTGTTTTACAAGGTTTTGTCGACAATTGGCTGAAAACTTCTGGTTTTCAGCAAAACCATCAAAACTGCACCCACAGCAAATCATTGGTTTGCTTAAACAATTACTGCAAAAAAAGGTTGTAAAATTGGGTCAGATATGCAGGCTCCATTATGGTCATAAGTCAGAATTCTTAAAATTAATGTCACGGAAAGGAAGTTATAAAAATGTTCAAACTATGTAGGAAAAAATCTCTGCCCTTCTAAACAGTAGAAACTGCCCTTCCACCCTACAGTGAAAAGCATCTAGTCAAGCTGAATATTTGTACATACCAGCTCTATTGTATGACTGAGCATCTCCAGACTTCTAAGACTAGATATGAGAATTGTTTTGTTGCAAATAACACTGTGCAAGATGATGACAAGAGAATATTTTAAAAATCCAGATAGTCCTGAACTTACAACTTTTCATTTAGTGACAATTCAAAGTTACAGTAGCACTTGTGACTTCTGACTGCTCCTCACACTTACATCCATCACGTCCCTATGGTTACCTGATAAAAATTCAGGCATTTGGCAACCAGCATGTATTCATGATGGTCGCAGTGTTCTGGGTCATGTGATCAGTTTGCCAGCTTCTGACAAGCAAAGTCAGCAGGTGAAGCTAAAGTCACTTAATAACTTCCATGATTCACTTAAGTGCAGCAATTTGCTTAACAACCATGGCAAAAGAGGAGGTAAAATCTGTGGTGGCACAATGGCTAGAATGCAGTATTGCAGGCCTAATTCTGCTAACTGCCAGCAATTTGATCCTAACTCAGCCTTCCATCCTTCTGAGGTCAGTAAAATGAGGACCAAGATTGTTGGGGGCAATTGACTGACTCTGTAAACTGCTTAGAGAGGGCTGTAAAAGCACTGTGAAGTGGAATATAAGTCTAAGTGCTAAATGCTAAAATCAGGCATGATTCACTTAACTGCCTTGCTCAGCAATGGAAGTTCTGGTGCTAGCTGTGGTTGTAACTTGAGGACTATGATGAAATGTTTTCCCCTAAGTTGACTTTTCATACACGCCACCATCAGTGGTGAGATTCTAATTTTTTTACTACCAGTTATGTGGGCGTGGCTTGTTGGGCTTGGCAGGGAAAGGATACTGTAAAATCTCCAGGCAGAATTGGTATTTGCTGGTTCTCCGAACTATTCAAAATTTCCGCTACCGGTTCTCCAGAACTAGTCAGAACCTGCTGAATACCACCTCTGGCCACCATTTATGAAAGGCTGTGAACAGTGAACTAAAATGGGAGGTTTTCATACAATCATTTATGAAAGCAGAGCTTGTTGGATACTGATGGTTACATTTAAAAAGAAATAAGATCTTGAGTTCAAAAATGGATTCAGTGACTGTATACTTCAAGACATCGTTAGCCTGATTTTAAAAAATACAGAGAAAAGAGACTACCAAGAAAGTCCTAATGATTGTGGCCTTTTCCACCTGAAAGGATATTACGGTTTACACCAAAGGACATGGCTCTTGTCAAGGCAAGGTTCCGATCTCTTTCCTCCTTTCTAAATGTTAGCTTCGACTGCTAAGTCTGTCACGACTTAGCCAGAGTGCTGAAACAATCCGAACCTAGTCTAGGATGCGGAAGTTCTCACTCTGGTCGGGCTCGCGGTTGAAAGCAGCTATCGGACCCGTGGAAAAGTCCTTCGGCGGCGGAACTTCTCCAGGGGAATAAATTAATGGATAACTAAACGCCCCCGTAGCTCAATTTACAGCGGGCCGCCTTTTTCCTTTTGCCGCTTCTTCCGATTCGCCCGCCGTTGGAAGCCGCGCACGGCTCTGACCGAGAGCTGATCCAGCCCCTTCCTGTGCCGTTGCCGTTTCCAAGCCGGGCGGCAACTGCCTCCGCATCAGCGGTGCAGCGGCTTTTCCAGTCTATCCGGGATTTGCAACCTGACCCTTAAGGAACTGGACGGTTGGACGGACATCCTCGAGGTTGCCATGAGCGAAATCTCGGCTCACTCCTGACACGCTCGTCTCGCTCAGCAGCAAAGGAGCCACGCGTGGCCCAGCCAGGCATTTTGAAACTATCCCGAAGAGAGGAACGCTCGCCTGGCAAGGCGCTGGAGAGTCTTGGGACAACGTGGGATTTCCGCGTGTAAATTCATGGAAACGTGTGGAACGAAGTGGAAAGCCAAAGCTGCCCGTGCGTCTCCGGCTTTGCAGTCGTAAGAACTGCCTCCTTCCCCCTCTTTCACCCCCTCCCCCCGTCTACTTCTGCGCGCGCTGCGTGTTCCAAAGCGACCAGCTGGTGGTGCAAATTCCACTTTAAAGGGAGAGAGGAGAGGACCGGAATGACCGCCGAGATTTGATACTAACAAGCGCAGAACTGATATTCAATTGCTTGTGTTAGTAGCTTTTGGTACAAATTAAAATCTTGTCTCCTGATTAGGCTCTCAGGTTTAACTACGTCGATCTTGTTGTTCCTGAGTTAAATATGCCTCTGAGGGTGGAAAAATAAAAGAATGATGGAGTCAGTAGAACGTGGTCCTTCATAAATAGTAAAAACTCACAATATCTAGTGTACCTTATTTTAAGATAAAGATTTTGAGGCTTTTCCACTAGGTGCTGGAACATCCTTTTCAACTTCTTGTCTTTTGCTTTTTAGCTCACTCTTAATTAAAAAAAGAGGCTGCTGACAATTACTATTAGACACTTCTTGAAGATTCATCTACCGTTGAAAAAAGTGGGATCAGATAAATGTATGGAAGTGATACTGGTGACTTTGGAAAAATAATACAGTTTGGCTGCCATATCTGCCTAGCACATTACTCCAGAGATTTGCATTTTGCTTGCTGCAAAATGAATTTCGTACATATATGTGCACCCAAGTAGGAACACATTTTATGTTGTGATACTATAGCTCTCTTCCATGAGCATGGGGTGCTCTTAACTCAGAATTATTAGTGACAAAAATCCAAAATTGGGGTCTACAATATGGAACAGAGATCTTGCTGTTTATGTGCGACCAGGAACATGGGATAACATCTTGTCCTCTTCCTCAGCTTAGGTTGCCCATTGATCACCTTTTTCTAGGCAGTGGTGTCATCTAAAGTCTTCTGATGTTGGAGTCACAGCTGGAATATCTACAACTGAAACGGAAGGCAGAACTGTCCATGCTCGCCAGAGCCACTGGACCTTTCAACTATGGCTGGAGACAAATCTCTCTTTGTGGGCATGTAATGTACTTATGATCCAGTGATTATTCTATGCAGATTCCTAATCTCATCTGTCCAGTTCAGTGAGATGATGGAGCATAGACGCCAGCGCCGCCAGCGGGCCTCTGAGATTATTCGCAAGCAGAAACGTAAAGAGCTGGATGCCCGACGCAGTAAGTGCCGAATCCGTATCGGAAGCCAGCTGGAGCAGTGGTGTCAGCTCAAAGAGCAGCTGGGTTTTTCTCTCCATTCCCAGCTGGCTAAATATCTGCTTGACAGGTGAGACTTTGTGAGCAATGATTATTTCTACTTCTGTTAGTTTTGTCCAAATATTAAGTAATCATTAGAGTCTATGAATTTAAGTGAAGGGCTGGATGACATGCCTCATGCTACTTTAATGGGAGATTGAACTGCTTGATTGGGGGCAAATGTTGCAATCTTTCTGCTATTTTAGAGGAAGAGAATATCAAGTTGAGATTTCACAGTGTAGAAAACATATTAATAAGCTCACAGAGGAAGAGTCGCTCTCATCATCAGCCACTCCCATTCTCATTTTGGGATATTCTAACGCCTTCTTCCTGTTCTTATTTTGTTCCAATCTTTAATCTTTTCTTTTATGTACACTGAGAGCATTTTCACCAAGACAAATTCCTTGTGTGTCCAATTACACTTGGCCAATAAAGAATTCTAATTCTAATTCTCATTGGCATGGGGAATTTTAAAAGAGAAGCTGGCAGAAACAGTAGGAAATGTTTGGTGTTTCTTAAAATTGGTAGCTGTCAGATAAGTGGACTTCAACTCCCAAAATTCCACAGGTAGCATAGTTACTCCTCAGAATTCTGACAATTGAAATCCATGGAAATTCCACATTTGAGAAGGTTCCAGTGCTGCTGATTTTTATATTAAAATTGTCTTGTATGCTAGATGTGGTTTAGAGATTATTACTGCTCATATATGAGCATAATTTGTTCTATCTGCTCACTCTTCCTCTTATCTTTTGTAGGTACAGTTCACATGCCTCAGTATTGAAAACAGGTAAATGTCCTTACAGGTTATCTATAGTCTAGAACAGGCTTATACCGGTAGTCTTTGACTTATGATTGCAGTTGAGCTCAAACTGTGTGTTGTTAAGACAGCTGTTAAGCAAGTTGCACTCCATTTTATGACCTTCCTTGCCACAGTTATTAAGTGAATCATAACAGTTGTTAAGTTAATAACACAGTTGTTAAGTGAAACTGGCTTCTCCATTGACTTTGCATGTCAGAAGGATCGCAAAAGGGGATCACATGGCCCTGGGACACTGCCACCGTCATAAATGTGAGTATAGTGGCACATGTCTGAATTTTGATCACGTGACCATGGAGATGCTGCAACAGTTGTAAGTGGAAAAATGGTCATAAATCACTTTTTCCAGTGCTGTTGTAACTCCAAACAGTCACTGAATGTTATCAGTCAAAGACTATCTGTAATTATATAGTTCCTTGAACTGAAATTCAGTTTCTGTTTGCATGAGCCATGGTGGTGCAGTGGTTAGAATGCAGTATTGTAAGCTTCTTCTGCTGACTGCCAGCTGACTGCAATTTGGCAGTTTGAATCTCACCAGGCTGAAGGTTGACTCAGCCTTCCATCCTTCCGAGGTGGGTAAAATGAGGACCCAAATTGCTGGGGGCAATAGCATGACTCTGTAACCTCTTAGAGAGGGCTGTAAAGCACTATGAAGTAGTATATAAGTCTAAGTGCTATTGCTATTCTCCTTTTGAGATCAAAAATAGAACTGAGAACTTAAGGATGGGGAATTTCACACTGAAGTTTTGCTTCCCTATTAAAGCTGAGTCTCTTTTTTTTCTTCTCTTCCTTCAGGATCAGACAGCTCCTGTGCTGATCCCATCGCTTTTCCTTCGGAGGCATTGCAACGTCTGGTTGTCCTTTCTCACAATCACAGCCAGGAATGTGGTTTCATCCCTAATGTGAAGACTGCTTTGCTGGAGCAGGAGAGAGTCTGCAGTCAGCTGGAATGGGAGTGCCTGGCTGGTCACACCTTCACCTGGAGTCCCCCTGCCTCAAAGATCAGCCCGCCACCCTTTTGCCAAACAGTTGCTGGTGGCAGAGAGGAGCAAGAGGAGGAAGCAAACACTATCAAGCTTAGCTCCCCACCCTCTCCGGTCACCAGATGCCGGCGCTCCCTCCGCAAGGCAGCAGCAGCCCATGCCATTTCGTTAGCACTTGCTTCCAGCTCACCCTGTCCTGTGGATGAGCCAGAACCATCTTTCCAAGAGGACGAGGAATGTGTTACAGACAGAGAGAGGACGATGTGTTTGTCTCCTGCCAGCCTGCCAGGTCTGGACAAGGAGACAGAATTAGTGTGCAATACAAATTCGGATGATAGAGGTGAGGAGAGTCGGTGGAGGAGCCACTGATGGAATTGGGAATCTGGAAGGCTAGACTTGTGTTGGGCAAAGGCAACCGGTTGGTAGGATATGCAAAGGATGCAGGAGGGGCAGAAGTGGGCCGGGGTTAGGTTTTTCTTGTGGGATATCTGGGTTGTGGCTAGAAGTTTATTTCTATGAAGGTTTTGAGCCTGTCAATAATACTTTTACTGTGTGTCCAGTAATCCTAAATAATCTTAGTCCAAAATTACTAAGAAAGAGAAAACCCTGCAAAATATCAGTGAGGAATCAAGATCTTTCTTCCTCCCCCCACTAAAATTAAGACTTTAGTTTTTACAACACTGAGGGCGAGGGAGATGCATTTTGAAAAAGAAAGGCAGCCTGAAGTTGGAAATGGGATATATTGAGACTGGAAGGAACGTCACTGATGTTGAATAAAAAACCAAACAAATGCACTTATAGGGAATATTAACCTAAGGAAATCCTTTGTAGTTTTCAAAAACATCTCTGTCTGATCCCCTAAAGGAGATTCTTACTCACCAGTGCTAACCAGGCAAAAGACTATTAAAAGTGAACCAAGTAGATATATTTTTTAAAAAAGAAATATGAGCTAGAGAAATAGTCTTGGAAGTGATTTTATGTCCACTGTTGAGTTTCAGCATCCAAGCTCTTTTTAAATGACTACCTTAAAAAGACTGCAGGTTCTCTTCTCTCAATTTGACACTGCTGTGTTTTCTCTTGTAGAAGCTGCACCAGATGAGATTCCAGATAGCACTGAAGCTCCAGGACCAGAAAGGTACATTTCTTCTCTCATGCCATCATAGCAAGGTTCAAAATGGAACTTGCTTGCCATGCTGGATGTTGAGGGCAAATGGCTTTCAGATTTACAAGATTGACAGTGTCTTTTGTAAAAATGACATTTGCCAAAGAAACCTGGTTCAAAAGACATCTTGGAAAAACATTGAGGAAGAATAATGACCTCAGGCCTCATAGTGAACCTCCACAACCATTCTGTATAAAAAATATATTCCTGGTTTTCCTTTGTGTGTGTGATTGTTGTTGTTGTTGTTGTTGTTGTTGTTGTTGTTATTGTAGAATAAATTCCTGAAATTTTTAAATGTATATCCTTAAATGATTGGGGTTTGGACATTTTTAATGATTGATTGTGCTTTCTAGTTGAGGTCAACTTTTAGCAATCATATACATAGACCTTTCCAGAATGACCTCAGCCTGTCCACTCATTACTACAGTCAATACATGAATATATCCAACCTCAATATGTCTGACTTTTGAAAGTCTTTCCTTATTTTATCGTATCTATTTCCATCTTCTATTTCTAGATATCATTGTAATATGGCTTCATGCCTCTTCTAACATCAATATAAAATTCTTTGTTTAAGTTTTTTAATGCTATCTTCATTCTCTTGGTTTGGACATCTCTTCTCGGCAATTTCCACCATTTGTTCCAACATTCAGTGTTATTATTTGGTCATCGACTACACTGCTATATCCTTCCTGCCTCTGAAAGCTATGCCAAGCCTTCTTTGTTTTCATGCCCTGAACAACAAGCAGTGTAATCTTCTGACTGAAAATGTCCAGTTCTGGTCCATTTCAAACTAATGGTGTCAATGTGTATGTTGTCAATTTGTTTCATCATTCATTTTATTGAGTTTTTCATGGTTCTTATGTTCCATATTCTCACCATAACTCTTTGTAATTCCAGATTTTCTTTTTTTGTATGGCAACATCCACAACTAAGTCCTGAAGGTTTTAATCTCGCCACATCAGTACTTCTCATAATATATTAAGTGCCATCTGACATGACAAACCCATGACAAACCCATCATCAATCATTTTATCTTGCTGTTTATGGGATTTTCTTTGTAGAAAATATTGCCTTATCCTGTGCAGTACTAAGTTATGCCTTTGCCATTGTCACTAAAGTGATAATCTGGTGCAGCATTTTATATCGTAACTGCCTGTATTGATGTCCTGCTTGCTTTAGCTGGGAACTAGGATGATCTTCGTGTCTTGAGTAATCGTGCTAAGAATATATTATCTTGGCATTTTGTCTCTGTTCTTTCCTCATCCTTCCCAGGAACACACACAAACCCACCAACCCTTGCCACAATGAGGCTGTATAGCAGAATTTGAGTTGTACCAGATTTTTTCCATCCCCCATTTATCACCAATGGGGGAAGGTAGGAGTGGAACTAACCTAATAATTTTTCTAATTGCTTCAAAAGCTAGTGTAAGAAATAAAAACTAATCCTCCAGGTACTGCTGCTCACAGCATCTCTGACAGAAGGATTCCAGGTTTAGTTTTTTTACCTCAGTCTTTCCCAACTTTGTGTTCTCTAGATAGTTCAGAAAGTTCAGCAGTGACTACATATTGGCAGGGGAATTCTGGGAGTTGAAGTCCATATAGGAGGATGACCACTAGGGGAAAGCTGCTTCAGATCTCTAATTAAAATAATGTGAGGCTTGACTTGACTTATAACTCCTACCATTCTTGGCCAATAGCCACATCAGCTGAAAAGGAGGAATGTACCAAACTAAACAAGCCAAGGTTCATCCAGAATGAAGGATTCTTTGTGGACTGAATCTTGGCCTTTCATGTTTTGTATTTTCTTCAGGATTTTAACTCTGCTAGAGGAGACACCAGAATCAGTGTCTGGTCCACCAGAGGAGGAGGAAGCAGAAGATTTCACAGAGGAAGATAACATGATATACATGGATGACCTGCGAGATGAAAATTATCAGCCTTCCTTGGATAGGTAATAAAATTAGAAGATTTTAAATGCAGTAGAGTCCACTTCAGTGTGAATAATGAGAGATCAACAAGGAAGTACTTTCTTTAATCATTTGTGTACCACTTCATATGCAACTCCTACCAGGTAACCTATGGAATAGAAGAGTTCTTCCCAATCTTAGCAATTTAATGGTATGTGGATTTCAACTCCCAGAATTCTGGGAGTTGAAGTCCACAAATCTTAAAGTTGTCAAGGCTGCGAAACATTGGAATAGAACATCTCAAATGAACACTCAGGACAAGTGATTTTAACAATATAGACCAGTTAAAATTAAATAAATCAATAGCAAGGCAAAAAGTGATTTAGCACTGCCTACCTTTGGGATATTTTGCAAACTTCCCATTCTATTTACAGTCCTGGGATTTCTTGATAGACTTCCATTCAAGTATAACTGGGTCTTTTAAGAACAGTCAAGATCATATTTGTCAGCCCAAAGCCCTTGTGTAGAGATGTTTGTTTTATGATTGACTGATTTGAGTCATTGATTGATTCTATGTTTTTTTATTGCCATTTTAGCCCAGCTTTCATAAAAACCAATCCCAATCTCTCTTTCTAGCTGCAGGAAGCAGGCACAGCCAGGAGATGAAGACATGTCCCAAATTGGTCCTAAGAGAATCAGGTAAGTTCAGGTCCGTGGTTGCTCATGATATCCTCAGCCAACATGGGCCCAAAGTAGAAAGGGAAGCTTATAGCAAGTTTAGGTAGGTTGATTAAAGCTGCAAGACTGGAAAGGATAATTGGCTTCTTTATCTATTTATTGTTTGTCCATCCATCCATTCTACTTACAAATAGCAGTTTATATGCTGTTTAGTCCAACAAGCTCAAAAGAGTTTTTCAACAACAAAAACAATGCATCATTAAATAAAAGCCATCACTAGCAATAGCACTTAGACTTATATGCCGCTTCATAGTACCTTATAGCCCTCTCTAAGTGGTTTACCAAGCATATTGCCCCCAACAATCTGGGTTCTCATTTTACCGACCTCAGTAAGATGGAAAGCTGAGTCAACCTAGAGCCAATCAGGATCAAACTCAAGCCAGTCAGCAGAATTAGCCTGCAATACTGCATTACAGCCATTGCACCACCATGGCTCTTGCTCATTAGAATAAGATGGAGCAGCTGCACCCAAAGGAACAACTACAACATCCAAAGAAGGAGAAGAGCAGCTAGGAAGGCCCACTGTAGCTTTTCAGGACACCTTTACAAAAGTTGTTAAAAACATAATGGATTATTGTAATTGCCTTCTCTTTGGAATCGAGGAGACTTCAAGAGTTACAGACTAAAACCATGTCGTGAAATATTTTGGGAAAAGCTGCTTCCCCCAAAACTGTTAATTAATTTATTTTGCTATCAAATGAATTTGATTAAAATCACACTGGCTGCAATTTAAGTAAAATTAGATATTTAACTTTCTTTGTCCATATTATATTTGACCCATCAAGATCTCTAAACAATCCACGGTTGTTTCCATTGGGGTGGGAGAGATATCCATAAAATTCTTCTGTATGTTGAGCTAAAGTACCCAAAAGGTTGTGTTAAATAGTTCTACGATTCTGTTGTGTATCTTCAGCCTGGAGATTTGACATGTTTTCTCTTCCTTTTGGCTTCCTTGTCTCTTCTGTCTTCGCCTTTCTTCACAGGAAGGCAGCCAAGCGAGAAATTCTCCTTTGTGACTATGATGGTTGTGGGAAAATTTTCTCCAATCGCCAATACTTGAATGTAAGTGATGGAGAAAAGACAGTGGTCACCAGTCTTTTGGGCTGGATACAGGTGACTGACAGAACTTCCATGTTTCATTTAAATTTTTCAAAGTGTCAATACTTTGAAGGCAAGCAACAGGGTTATGCCCCGTTTGTTGGCATCTGCTGGACCAGGAGTACTGAAGTTAATACAAAACTACTAATCTTAGAACTGATACCAGGAAAAGTTCCCCGTTTACTTTAGAAGCATCATCCAGAGAAATAGAAGGGATGCATGATCCAGCTACTATAGAATCTCATCTGTATGCCATATGTTACTTTAAAAAAAAATTCTTTTGGATTATCTATGCCAGTGGTTCTCACCTCTGGTCCAGGATCCTTGGGGACCCTGCAATGTCATTACAGGGGATCCACCAAGGCTTGAAGAAATGTTATGATTTTAATCTTAAGTCTTGGGGGTCCGTGGCCACAAAAGGTATTTTAAGGGAATCCGTAATGAAGAAAAGGTTGAGCTAAGGAGCAGTACAGATTTTAGAGTGTTATATTCCTTCTGAGCTATTTTTTCCTCCATATTCCAGCACCATAAGAAGTACCAGCATGTTCACCAAAAGACCTTTACCTGTTCTGATCCAAGTTGTGGCAAATCCTTCAACTTCAAGAAACATCTCAAGGAACATGAGAAACTGCACAGTGGTGAGCAGTCTTAACAATGTGTCTTTCACATTGTTAAAAAAATAATAATACATTTTTTATTTTTTATTTCTACAAACATATCATTTTGTGAACAGCGTGGTTCCAGGGTGTTTTACATTTTAGAACAAACATGACAATGATTTCATATTGATACTGTTAACATTCTTGTATATTTTGATATTAATACAATTTTATCAATCTTAATTATTCAGTATTCCCATGTGCTATTTTTGTGTCAATCTCTATTCTTGACATCACTTCTTTTATTATAAATGCTATATTAATAGTCATATTTGCAGTTGTTAACAAATTATATAATTATAATAACCATAAATTCATATTAATTTGTATTTTCCAATATTTATCCCCTTTTTGATTCTTGGTTGTGCTACTATTATATTTGAAGCAAAGTCCTTTTCTAGTCTCATTATAATACAAACAAAATAATATTCATCCTCTTTATATTTAGCAAATTATACAATTCTAATAATAATATAATCACTTTTATCTAATACTATATTTCACTATATTATTTTTGTCTATAAGATTCCACAGGTTATTTCATTTCCTGCAACACAATATTAATTTTCATGTTTATTACAGTTAGCATTTATATATCTTTAGTAATAATCCTATAATAAAATATTAGTTTCATATTTATTACAGTTAACTATTGTATATCTTGTGTAATAGTGCACACATTCATGTGGAATCATTATCTTTTTCCTTTTCAGCCATCATCTCTCATTCTCATTAAAGCATTAATTAATCACTTCCTAGCTTGTCTCCCATTTTCTATCATTTTTTGATCATTCCTCTTAAACTTTCCTCCCTTCTCTGTTATATTCCATTGTCTCTTTTCCACTTATCTACTTTTACCACTATCCTCTCAAAACATTATCCCTGAAATTTCATTCCCTGTTGCATTTCCCTTAAAATACTCCCCCTTTGATTTATTGCATCAATCATTATCATTTTAAGTTTTATTTCCTTTTTATCCTTTCTTTTTATTTGTTGTTCCATCTGTTCTATTTTTCTGATTGTTCTTCCATTTGGCTCCTCCTCTTCCTGGATCTCTTGTTTTCTTTCAGTTATTTGGGTCTCCATTTTCAGCTCTTCTGCCATGCTCTGTATTTTATTCAAAATGTCCTCAAATCTTCTATTCATAGTGTCTTTTATGTTCTGCAGTTCCAACACAATTTCTTTACATATTCCACTCATCTTTGTTATTGTTTATTCTATTTCTTCTGTCTAATTATCCAACAAACTTTTTTCAAACCACAATCTCTTTTGAAACTATAATTCCAATGTCCAGGAGTCCTTATATTCCAAAATTAATCAATCTATTCTTTTAGATGATCCAAGGGTAATAACTTCATAAATTTCTCTACCACTTAGGTTTTATATTATAAATTTCTGGGGTCTTTTAGTAGTACAATTCCTTTAATTCTTTGTGTTTCCTTTAATTCTAATGTGTTTAAAAGTGCCTGTAAAAAGTTTTGAACGATAGCTTTCATTGTCCTTGCAGTCTGACTAAATCAAAATGTCTTGGACCAGCCCTGGTTGTAGTATTGGGGAGAAAAGATCTATAGGTTGCCCATATCTATTATGAAGGATGTGCCTTTAGGATCAGGCTGGCCAGTGACTTATTGTGCTCTTTACTTGCAGATAAAAGGGACTACATATGTGAGTTCTGCGCCCGCTTCTTCCGAACAAGCAGTAATTTAATTATCCACAGGCGGATCCACACCGGAGAAAAACCCCTACAGTGAGTATGCCCTCACAATGCTTTTCCCTATTGCAGAAATGACTTAAGCACAATCAGAGGGCCCTGCTGGATCACTCTCATGAAATCCAGCCTCCTTCTCACAATCATCAACTGAGAAGCCTTCCCAGTAAATCATAAAACAGATGGTTTTCTCAACCTCACTCTCTAGGCTTCAGTCATGAATACAGGTAGTCCTTGACTTATGATCACCGCAATATTCATATTTATGGTGACTCTATTAACAGGTTAAAAAAAAAAAAAGACAACCGACTATCTTCCACATAGGGAGCAGATATTTGAATTGATGGCTGTTCCTGAGGTAACCAGTACAATCTTACATTGTACTGATTTTCTGTTCAGCTTCAGCCAGAGCCAGCGAAAGTATTGCCTGACCTGTTGTACAGACAATCTTTCTCTGTTGTGAGGAGGGTGGTGGGGAGAGCCAAGGCTGGATTTATCATCTGTTTCTGGCAGCCCCCTTTCCTCTTTGGTGAATCCCCCCTCTCTTTCTTTTCACACAGGTGTGAGATCTGTGGTTTCACCTGCCGCCAAAAAGCATCCTTGAACTGGCACATGAAAAAGCATGACGCCGACTCCTTCTACCAGTTCTCCTGTGACCTTTGTGGCAAGAAGTTTGAGAAGAAGGACAATGTTACTGCGCACAAGAGTAGGAGCCATCCTGAGGGGGCCACTGGGCCTCCCCCACCAACGCAGGAGCCTCCCCCTCTGAGCTCTCCACTTGCAGAAGAGCCAATGGCAAACCCGGTTCAGGCTCAGCTGTGTGACATGGGGGAAAAGGTGGAGCCTCCTGCCCTTGCAATTACCGTCATCATTGAATAGGGGACCAAGCAGAAGGAGAAAAAGCAAGAGTAGAGAGAATTCCTGACATTTCCTGTAGGCCAGTTGCATTACGTCAGCAGGTTGCAAAATCAGTAAAGACACATGGGCCCTAGCCTCTTAAAACAAGGTCCCATCAATCACAATCTTTCTCTCAGCTCCTCTGGGGTCAGTTCTGGAATAAAAGGACAATCTTGGCAATCTGCCTTGGCTGGCTCCAGAATGTCTAGTGGTGCGGCATGTCAGTTTGATGTGTTTTCCTTCCATCTGTGGGTGAAAAAATACACTGGCATAATTTGCTCTGTCTACACAGCTGGTCACACCTGTTTCGTGAATGAGGCCAGTGAATGGTGCTATTAAACTGAAAGAATTGGGGGATTTCTCAGCCAGTGGGGAAAACATTGACTGTATTAATTATGCCCTTCAACGTGACATGGTGCTAGAGCTGGGCGCAGGAGACAAGTTTGGACGAATGGGTATAGCAGTGAGTTTAGCCATCTATCCGCACCTTTCAGTGTAAGTACTGCTCTACAGATCCTGGGTCAATCTGCTTGTCAAACTATAGCCGAGCCACCTCCATGTCTGGATATTTGTTTTACATAGTCTGACAGGTGAGCTGCTCCCCAGGGTCCTTTGATCAGTCGATTTGAGCCTCTGTATGGTGACTTACCTTTCAGAACTCTGTAAAAAATAAATACCCTGGCCAGGAGGTCACTGCAACATCTCTAAGAAGGGTATAGGTGTGGGGGCATTTGCATCTCCATAGATCTTATCAGGAATTTGGTCCTGTCATCATGTCAGTCCAACAGCACAAAATGAAATGGCCATGGAAGGACTTTGTTCACAGCCACCAAAATCGGTCAGCAGGAGCAGGGAAGATCTGCTGTGACACAAAATGTGACATTGCAGCAAGTTTCAAGGGTGAGAAAAAGGCTGCATCATTCAATCTGGTCAAAGACCAAGGTGGAAGATCTCTTTGAGCCAAAGTAGAGAATATTTGTGGATATGCCTGTAGCCCAATCAGAATCTTTCAGAAGCCTATCCTTTGTGGCGATTGGCTACCAAACCTTTATGTAGATTGTGAGTGTAAAGGGAGGGGCTACAGAGACATGGAGAACAGCTAACACAAGTGAAGTCCTGATTTTCTATAGCCTGGTCAGGCAGTGATTGTGGAAGATGTGTAAGGTTCTGCTGTAGCTTCTGGGAACTCTGTTTTGCAGCCTGCATAAATGATGCAATTTTTATAAACAGGGCAATGGAGATATGCATATTTTATGCCATCGACTTTGCCAGAGGCCAAATATCATGTCAAATGTATAAATCTTAGCCCCGGTTACTTGAAATGGTGTGTAAGAACTTCTGACAGCCACATGGCATTGTTCATGAACGTTGAAGCCTATGGCTGCATGAAAAAAGATTAGAAGGGATTTTTAAATATACTTTTTAAGTGGAAACTGAGTTTCTTGGAAGGCCGTATTCCACGGACAATTTCATAATGCTACTACTTTTCTATTTGTATGTCACTATTAAATGCATATTATATCGATTAACTTTCCACTCTTGTCTAACTGGCCCAGGTTTTAAATGGTAGTAACAGCCATTAATAGGAATAGCTTTCGCTGTTGTGCTCCACAGAGCCAAAAAGATGTGTCATATTTGCCAAGCAGGGCTGCACTTCCCTACTTCTGGAAACAGGATGCTGCCATTCAAAACATTCTTTTAGTCAAACCAGGAGCCAAAAAAATAATTTACAAGTCAAAAATGGAGGGAAGGAAACTGCCATTTCAAGATGCAATCTAGCATTTGTTCGAACCTTGATTCTTCCTTCCGGATAAACTGCATTTTTGAACTGTGTAGTCATCGGCTTCAATTCCTACCTGTTTTGGATATGCCTCCCCCGACGTTTAGGGTAAAGTCAGTTTCCAGCACATGGAGCTCTCTGCACATGGAGGAAGAATAAGAATTGTATTGAGTGGTGATAATTAAAAGGTAGCTTTGTTCATACTCAGGATTATTTAACACTGAAAGACAAAACATTTTGTCATGAGGAAGTTTATCCCCTGAAAAACACAGGATCTAGATTTCTCCTTTTTCAAGAGGCCCAGAAGATATGTATTTGGGAAAGTTCATATGTCTTAATCTATTATACTCCTTTGACTCATTTCTAGGACGTTGAGAGAAATACATGTATTAAAGGGCTGTTGCTGGAGGGCTCTGAACATTCCTCAGGTAATGGTGCCATTGCGGCAGCATATGCAACTCCTGTCATGACAGGAATACTTCCGCTGCTTCTCTGTATGAGGTCCTGTTCTGAGTATACCTCCTTTGGACTCATTTGGAGTATAGGAGTGAGCGATTCCTCACAGTCTCATCTTTCTTTTAAATAAAATAAAATAAAATAAACTCAGCTTTTATAAGTTTGGGAAATATGCTCCAGTGTATCTATAAGTACTGTGTTTTAATTTCATATGGTTTTGGAGAGTTTTGCCCAGTTTTATGTCAAGCCATGCCAAACACATCAATACTGGAGTCCTAGAAATGCATAGATCTAAATCTAAGGAGTTTTCTTACCAAGCAGCTGTAGTGAGACCAAGAGTTTTCACTTCCTACAGCTGTGTTCTATGTGTTACTGGAAACAAATGATCAAAGGCTTAAAACCAAATTTACTGAAATCTATTTTATTTTGACAAACTTCAGTTTAGCAAAATATTTCACTTCTGCGAATTACGGGAAAGGTTGGGAAAGCTATGCAGAGTAACAACTGCTTTCTGTGGCTGCTTCCCTTGAATTGGGATTTCTTGTTGTGTCCAATCACACTTGGCCAATAAAGTATTCTATTTCAGACATTGCATAGGTATTATGTCTCATAACTCTAGTATGTTTGATAAGAAGGCTGAGATTCTTCGAAAATTGGATTTAGCTGTTTACATTCCTGAGATTTTTTTTCATTTACAATCATGGAGGTGGAACAAATGCTAAAAAGTTCTGCATTTCTAAATTTTGCAGTGCCAAAAGGAGATGATGATGTTTTGATTTCTTTTGGATATGAAAGATTTGAAGGTTATAAACAAATAAATGGATCTTCCCCTATAAGAATGAAATAAAAGTGAGCGATATTTGCAAATAAACAAATGTTTTGGTCCTTTTACTTACCTATTGATCTAAAATGTTTAGTGTTAAATCGTGTATTTATCCTAAGAATTACAGGAAGGAATAAGAAAGATGAAAAAAATATTAGTCATATGATTACTAAACCAAAAAAGCAAATCTTGGGTTTGGCCAATATGTGATCCTAAGCAGGTTTATGCCACAATCCAATATAATCTTTCCCAAAAATTAAAGCCTGAAGTTCAACGGATCTGTTCAAAGGTAAATGCGTACAATTACGGAATATCCCCACGAGGAGGCCCTTAAAACTAAATATCCAGGCAAATTTTCCTTCGCGCAGGATTACTTCTAGTCGCTCATATACAGTATTCACGGCTAGATAGGCAACACCCTGTGATGGGACTTCCGCCTTTATTCCTTTAAAATGGAAGGAGGCGTGGCTAAATAAGGCATCTCCGGTTATTCAGCTAATTGCGATAGATTCGGACCAGAATGAAAACTGTTAGGAGTACCGTTAGCCGGTTTTAGGTTCTTCATTTCCAAATAGAATTCAAAGCGCTAGACTCGTGACATTAAGTAACGTGACGGAGAACAAGAACTGACACGTAACGAGGAAGGCTGCATCGAAAGGTGGTGGCAACTTCTTTTGTGCTCTGCAAGGAGTAGGAGCCAATTTATACATCTGGTTCGGCTGTCAACCTTTGGACCTGGGGAAAATGGAAGCAGCATGATTCATGTTCGACTCTGAGGGGGTAACGGGAAAGCCTGAGCGGACCAGAAGGAAGTCTTTCATTCTTCGGTAACTATTTGATTTTTCTCTCTCCGGAAGAGCTATCTGTGCACATCATTATAGCAAGGAATTTCTTTCGTTACATGTCTGGTTTCCTCTGTCTTATATTATAACTTGTAAAGCCATTGTCTCTGCTCCTCCACATATACACGGTGTCACTGTGAAAATGTCCTTGCAGTATATCAAGGATGACAAAGGTAAGGATCAGCTGTTTTATAAGGGATATCTGTATAAGAAAGTGCGTGCAAGTGGGAACAAAACATTTTGGAAGTGTGCTGAATACCGCAAATACTGTTGTACAGGAAGGGCTCACACCAGCCACGACCAAGTTATAAAGTCTTTGCCACATCTTCATCCTCCCACCAGGATGCCAACGGAACCTGACCAAGTGCCATATGGCATGAAAAAAATCACCATGGGTCCAGAATCAATCCCTAAAATGAATACAGCGAGTTGTAATGCATTGTCAGAAGTTCGTACCAAGAAATGGTGTACAAACCATCCAAGTCAGACAATACAGCGTTTGAGAGCATGTTTGAAGGCAACCCGCCAACCTTCACCCAATTTACGGGAACCTGTCACTGCTTTTGAAACGACTGTTAAAGAGCCAATTATACCATCAGCTTTCACAGCTCCTGGCTTTCAGGAGTTCGCTGATAGCTCTATCGACAGAACTTCCATGCCAAACCCTGCTTTTTGTAAAGAGAAACACGCTCTGAACTCACCTTCAATCCAGGCTAATCGGGAAGCTGGTCGACAGAGATTCCGCCTGTCCACCCTCCTACCTGGGGAATCTCTACAGGAGATTCTGTCCCGGTTGAATACCACAGCTCTGCAGTGGCTCTGTCCTCAGGAGCACAGCAAGGACCAGATTGTGGACATGATCATCCTGGAGCAATTTCTCAGTGTGCTTCCAGTGGACATGCAGAAATGGCTGAAAGCCCAGGAGCCAGGCAGCAGCAAGGAGGCCATTCAGCTGGCTCTGGCCTACCATAAACAGGAACCTGCCAAGCCCATTCAGGTGCTGGGGAATGGGGTATATACTAAAGATGTATTGGAATGACATTATCTTTAGAATGGAAAACTGTCAATGTAGTTGATATTTAAACATGCTGGAAGTTCTAGTGATGCCCTTGGTACTCCTGAATTCACAGGGAGCAGAGCAGGCAATGGTGAATGGAGAAAAACGTCTGGCATCTCTGGCCAGAGAGCTTCTAATGCTGTAATCCTTAACTTACAGCTAGAACATCCATAAGGAAGTGTTTTGAAAAGGAAGGGAGGGGCCTGGTGAGTACAAGGAATTTATTTGAGGTCTGCAGCTTAAGGAAGGAAAGGCTTTATCTGGAGTAAGATTTTCAGAAAAGCAAGGGATGACTCATCTATCATCTAAAATAGGCAGGCTTAATTTGCTGTCTGTCTGCTTTCTTCATTTAGAAATTGGGTAGAGTGAAAGCTGGATTAGAATGCATATATTGCAAAGAAATGTTTTTATCCTGCTTCTTTTATTGCTCTCAAAGACCCATGTATATTGGAAAAAGAAAATACTTTCTGTCCATGTGTTGATACAGGCAGTTTGTAGATTCATGCACAGATTGTGCTGGCTATATGTAATCTAGTTGTATAACCAACATGGATGCTATGGATTTGATATCTTTCCTGATATGCAAAAAGTGGGGTCTTTCATCAAAGACATGCAGTAAAAAGATTGCCCTGAATCCTCAGCTTTTTAGTAAATGTGTAGTTCCACAGTCATTGTCTTCAAACATTCAGTATTTTTGCAAAGAAATATGGATGTGGATGCTAGATGCTAAAATTTGGAACAGTGGAGGAAGATCTGAAGCTAAAATAAAATTAGAACTCAGTAAAATAAGTATTGGAATAAGTATATATATAATAAATGTATATGTATTCCCATGAATAAATGGCAAATTGCCAGGGTGTTATAGGTAAGCATTTGGGCAGGGGCACACACAAAAATAGTGCATTCTTTACATATTTATAGATTTTTCAAAATGACCATCAGATCATTAGTATTTCTTATATAGAAATTAACACGCTCGGATGCTAAGTAGTCCTACTCCCCCACCCCACCTGAAAAGACCTCTGTTCCAACTGCCAGTTGCCTCACATTCCATTACCTCAGTTCAAACTGGCAGACGTTCCACTCCTTCACTCAGGAGCAGTCTGGGGTTCCTTACAGTACTAAACGTTGCTACCTCACCAAAATGTCTACGCCTTCCACTTATGGAACTGCTTCTGAATAGAAAATAAGACAGAATAGAAAACAGAACTGCATAAAATAGAAAATAGAATAGGGAATAGAATAGAACATAAAAGGGAACAGAATAAAAAAGAATAGAACAGAATATAATAGAAGCGTAGAGCTGGAAGGGACTTCAGAGGTCATCCAGTCTAACCCCCTGCTCATATTACCAACCACAGTCTTTTTAATCTGCTGGATTTAGAAGCATCCTAAGAAGATGCTAGGATCATCCTAATCTAGGATAAATTCCTAGCCGATATCCTCAGAAAGTTGCCAGGACTTCTCTCCAAGGAATCTCAGCAGAGTTAACAAACCAGGTTTCCACAATTTACTCTCCGCTCACAATTAACTCACTAAGATGGTTTCTCCCGGAATCCCCCATCAGCATGCTTTAAGAGGGGTGGACTTAAACTCCCATAATTCCTCAGCCAGTATGCTTTAAGAGGAGATGACCAACTCCCCTCTTAAAGCATGCTGGCTGGGGGATTCTGGGAGTTGAAGTAAAGAACTCTGTTCCAACTGCCAGTTGCCTCATGTTCCGTTACCTCAGTTCAAACTGGCAGACGTTCCACTCCTTACAGTACTAAATGTTGCTACCTAAGCAAAATGTCTATGCCTTCCACCTATGGAATCACTTCCAAACTTAAAAGGGCAGGAGAGATATTAGCTCAAAAAAGGCCGGAAGTGTTGTTTTTGGAGGGTTATTGATCCTCTCAGCAACATTGTCCTCCGTAAAATATGCCCGATCACATAGTTTTGTAGTGAAGCATGGGTATCCAGCTAGTAAAACAAAATTATTGAATGATTTTGTCATTTCAACAAATTTCCCTTAGCAATTACATCAATTTTCATCTTAATATGAATACCAGTACTTTAGCAGATGTTTAAATATATGTGGCAAAGACAATTTCAATATTCCTATGTAGTAATCAATGTATGTGTCTTTATCCAAAGAAATTTTTTTTGTTCTTTTTGGGTAATTTACCCAGAATTTTAGGTAATTTACCCAGATTTTGAAAGTGCTGATTTAGAGAAGCCTGTTAGCTATTATGGTTAATATATGTTGCTAGACTTGTTGTAATCCATAAATGGTTAAATCCTTTCTTTGAGCCATCCAAACCAGTTGCCAATTATGGCAAATTGCTCTGAAACAAAGCAGTAGCTGGAGAAAAGAGTTTTATGTGTGAGTTACATTAGCAAAGTGCATAATTGTCTAGATGGCAGCAGTTCAATTTGGAAAATACGAAATTTTTACTTTTCATATTGATAATTTTTCATTGTTTTATTATTTTCTGTTTGCATTTCATATCTAGCCATCCATTAATCATACGTAGCACATTGCTTATTCCCCTCTTACAAACTGGGAATAAAATTGGACTTGATCTGGATAATCAAAGAAATTGAGGATAGTGCTGATATTTGATCAGTAATTCCAGCTTGAAGTCTTTGCAAAATACCATGCAGATTAACCGCTCTGATTATTTTAGGATATGATAACCTTTGAAGATGTATCTATTCATTTCAATGAGGAAGAATGGACTCTACTCGACCATAAAGAAAAAAACCTTTATTGGAATGTCATGCATCAAAATTTTGAAAATATAGCCTGTCTGGGTAAGAATTCGGAGGAATTCCTAGAACAGAGATCTTCTGTTGAGGCAACTTGTTATTTTTTGATATTTTGATCTACAATTCCCATAGCTTACAAGGGTCAAGTAATTGGAGCCAAAGATTTTAAAGGCTCAGATTAATTTACCTTGGAACTAAGCTAAATTCTGAATGATGTAAAAAGATATTATCAGAGTTTATCCAGAATTTTTGATTAGCTGGTGCTTTCACAAATCTTTGCATGCTGCCCCGAGCTTCTTGAATTAATGAGAGGCTACAAGTAGTCTTGACTTCTGACTGATGCTGAGCTTCAAAGGTATGACAGATCTCCCTAGGAGTATTTATGACCTAGTTTCAATAGCCATCCCTACCCCCATGGTCATGTGATCATATTCAGGCATTTGGCAACCAGTCCACATTTATGGCCGTTTGCAGCATTATATGTCACGTGACATATAACATTTTTGCCAAAAACCAGTGTTTACTTTCAAACCAGCCAGCAAACAATTGGTTTAATTAACTAATGTGGTGATTGCTTTATGATTGCCATGTTTACTTAATGACTGCTGCAAACACAAAAAAGGACATATAATCAAGTCCCTCATGTGGGTGACCCATTTTATGACCATTATGACCTACAACCGTAATGGATAGGCTCTATTACGGTCATAAATTGAGGGTTACCTGTACACAGCAGGATATTAAAAAGTAAGCTGAAATATTTGGTTGTATACAAAGAGCAAATATAACCCTCCAGAATAATTGAGAATAGGTTATGGTGGTATAAAAATTTAATAAATTCTACCCATAGGTACTTTAATTTTTTTACTCTACTTAGAATGTAGAGGTGTTATAAAGTTATTGTATTTAACATTATGATTAATTTATTGAAACAGAGTTGGGCTTAAGGAATGTTTTGGTTGTTTCTTTCCTTTAGCAAGTGATCAGATCAAAGGAAAAAGCCAAAAGGAAGACCCTTTGCAGGAAGTTTTTGAACCAGCAGTGGAGCGGTTGGAAAAATCCAAGGAGACAATTTTACAACATCCTGAACAAAAGTTGAATTATACAGTTTGTCACTGTCTGAAGAACCAGCAAAAGAGAACCTTGGAGAAGGAAGAAATATTCATTGGTTCTGAAAGAAATGTGGTGGGACCAGACAGAGACATCATTCTTCTAGGCTCTGAAGTAGGGCTGGAGAGTCAATGTATACATAATGATTATGGGGAAGGTGGTGTAATACCTATCAATGATCAGAAAAGCCTGAAAGAAGATGATCCAACAGGCTCATATGGAATATCCAAAAAGATACATCCCTGGAATTTTAAGCAAAATTTAATCAGAGAGGAACAGAATGATACTGAAAGGCAACAGTCAGAGAAAGAAAAAAATTATGGAGGCCATTGGAGAGATCCAGTCCGCCATGAAACTAGAACAAGTTGGAATGCTGTGTGCGCAACCATTGATGATGCAGAACAAACTGAACCACTGATACTCAACAGTCAGAGAGATTTTAGATATGGAGATAATTCATTGGAAACGATTATGGAAAGAATTTCTCCGAGTCCTGATTCAGATCCAATGCTCCTTTGCTCAAAAATATGTTCTGCTGAATTGAATGAAGGTATGGATTTGACCAGTGCAAACCAGAGCATTCTGGAAAGCGGTCTTGTTAATAGTTCAGGGAATGAAGGAGGGGTGGAGAAACTCAGTTCTTTTGGAAGTGTTTTACAGGAACCAGTAACACAAATTCCTCATTCAGATGTTCAACAAGACTCAGAAGCCGAGTACAGATACTCCAGTCATAGTAATGAAGGTGACACTTCCAAAATCAGCTTTGGGGGACAGTTGATTACATCTCCTAAGTATAAACATTTTAATTCTTTCAAACAGTATGCCTGTTCCAATCCTGAGGCAATCATCAGTAGCCTTTCAGCTTTAATAAAACATAGGAGAGTGGACAGAAAATATTTCAGCAGGAGAAATTTGAAATTCCAATCTGGAGCACGTCATAGAACTCACATAAGAAATAATCTCCAGAAACGCTTGATTAGGCATAACAGGCATTACTTTAAACAAAACAGAACCTGGCTCCTTGAATCAGGAATTACTTTAAAACAGTTCCCAAAGTTTGATCCTGTAACACTTAACACCCAAATAGGTGAAGCTTTGTACTTGGCTATGCAAACCATAAGGAGGTTTTCTGCAACTGGATTTTTCTTTTCAAGTTCCCCCCAAATGGAACAACAGGAGAGATCTTTTCCTCTTCCCTTTCTAGACAAAATGGCTACTGAGCCTACCTTAAGCCAGATAATGACTGTGCTGCAGCAGGTGGCTGCTAATATTTCAGAAATCAAGGCAGCCATCTCCAGCCTGCATTCCACTGTAACTAGCCTCCAGAATGGGTATTTCTCTGAGTGTACAGTTGAAAGTGAAGGTGGGATTTCTGGTTTGGAAGATCCTTCCCAAAACACCAAAGCTCAGCCTGGGCACTCTTGTAACTATATTAAAGCCACTGAAGTCAAACAAGTAGGGAAATCTGTATAGACCAATGTAAGAGCTAAATTGTGTTCATCCCTGAATGTTGAAAAAGGTGCAAATTCTCCGCATCTCTCCCCAATTCATGAATCAGGAGATTCATGAAGAAAAGATTCAATTCCCAAACTGACAGAATATAGAATTACAGAGTTGGAAGCACCCATTTCTAGAAGTAGCCTTTATTTATACAGTAGTAGCATTTTTATTAAACTTTTCAAAACTGCAAAAAGAAGCAGTGGTGGTCATAGTAATAAAATGAAAGTTTTTTTGTGTGTCAGTGGATTGATAGCTGAGCATGGAACAAAGGTTTTAAGCAGTTTGCTGTAATCCCCATGTTCAGAAACAAACAAGATGGTCTCTCACTGATCTTCTATCACACAAAACATAACATGGTAAGGAATATCTGTCAGAAAAATTTTCTCTGGGAAAAGATTATGCAAATAGAGAAGCAAAATAAAGGCTGACCCTTTTTAGAAAAAAGGGAAGAAAAAAAGGAAGCTTTTAAAATATGTATTTTAACATGAGGAAATTATCTCCCTTAGCTCACTCCATATAACTTTCTTTTAAGTATAATGTTCTTGCAGCTTAGGTGTTAACCAAAATTCCTTTGAAAATAGGATTCTATCTCTTTTTTTAAAGTAAATAGTAAACAGTAAGGTATCCAAGTTAATATTACTTTCACTGACCAAATCGTAGTTTAAAAACTAAGAAGTATCTGCCTAGATAATAACATGGATGACAGAATGACAGGCTAGAATGGAAAGTCAAAAACATTCCAGTGATGAACTGATTCTTTATTATTACCAAAACACCCACATATGAACATGTCTATAGTTGGGAAAACTAGAATTTAAACAGTGGGATACAGATTTCAAAAATGAAATTAAAAACTATATTGACAATTTTCCCCTCTGCCACTCCAAGCTATCTTCCATTTCTTTAAAAAACAGTCTGGGACAAAATATTTAGATAGTTTTTATTTAGCAATTTTTATTTAGCAATTGCCTCATTCAGCAACTGTTTGCCGTTGCAACAGTAATGAAGTAATTTTACACCCAAACCACATTTATGCTCTTCGCAGGTCTATAAAGCAAAGGAAATCTAAAGAAGGACCATAAGCACAGTCGCAGTTTCATTTAGCAACTGCATTGCTTAACAACCAAGTTGCCAGTCCCAATTGTGGTTGCTAAAGGCTACCCATACTTAGCACTTTATTAATAACAGGAGTTGCTGCCTAGCAACAGCCAGATCTCTTGACTGAGAGTCTTGGGAGCATCTGGGAAGAATGCTGAACCAAGTACTGTCACAGCAGTGCTGAATCATGTGTAGTTATTGCATCATTTAGATGGTAATTATTCTTACTGGGAAAAGCTGGAAGCTCAGGAAACTATTTTTTTATCACCAGAATTTCTCCACACTTTTTTTTACTCTTAATGATTCCTTACTTTCTTTGACCACATTCCTTGAAACTATCTTTGTCTCTCTTAACACAGTAAAAATGTACTGTATTTCTAATCTGATTATCTATCCCACACTCAAACCCTGTTTTCATTTTTGTATCCTTCACTAGTTATCTTAGTCCGTCATTTTAAACCATCAAATCAATCATAATTTAATCATATTTATTTGCTATACAAATGCATGCATTCCCTTATCTGAAATAAACAAAAATTCACCAAACAATAATGATTCTCATTCATTTGGAGAGTCTCTGAACACCCAATTACTTTCTCTATACTCCCATTTCATGCTCATCCATCCATTCATGTCAATTAGCAAAATGCAATTCCCAAATTTCTCCTTGTTTCTATGCATATCTCCCAACAATCTTGATTGATTATGTCAGTACCAGGTCTTAGTGACCAAGTAGACAGATGTTCTCCAGAATTATCTAGTCCATCATGGTCCTTCTTCTGGTCCACCAATTCATACCCCTTACATATTTTAGCCTTTTCCTTCATAATTAAATCCAAAATTTCAGTTCCCTAGGTATATTCATCAATGCCAATCAAGACTTTATAGTATGATGTTTTTCAGAAGAAAGAAAAAATGCAGACCAGGTAATAGCTTTAATCCCACCCATTCCAGATGCAGCATTCCCTGATGATGATAAGAACAGCAACAGCCAGTTCAGGCACACTGTAGCCAGATTATCGCAAAGCCAGCTAAAGCCCAGTTTTGTCCCATGCTATCCCAGGCCTGAAAAAGTCTCTAATCTAGGATATTCTACAAAATATTAGGTTAAAGATACCAATAATTATGTCCATGCCATTTTCATTTGTCTCATTATTTACAATAACAGGTCATACATAAAAAACAAGGTGTCTCCTCTATGGATTATGGAATAAAGAATGGTGGATACCATTTTATTGTGTCAGATTGAATTTATTTCAATTGGGATTCCCTTGGGAAAAGTGGAGGTGTACTTTTGGGCCACATCTGTTCCAGCACTTTCTGTATCCAGACTTACCCTCCAGCTTAGAACAGGTCTTTGCTAAGCAGAATCCAGCAAGAAACTATTGTTCACCTCCAGATTTTGGAAGAACAAAATGACTTTTCAGGTCAGGTAAGAAAGAGCACAAGGCAATGTGAAGAATACAGTCTTGTTGTTTGAATGCTCTCATCATTGACTCAGAAAAGGCTACTTTTTTGCATATGAAAGGAAATTACTTTGGCTCAAAGAAAAACATCATTTTCTAAACTTCAAAAGGAGGCATAAACATCATGCTAAAATGTTAGTATCACCTTTATTTAGATGTTAGTAATAACCCCTAAAATTGTACATAACAAATATAGCAACTTCATAATTACTGGTGATGAATGAGGGAAGCATAGATTATCCCATCAACATTCAATAAAGGAATTTCTTGCTTCTTGTTTTTCTTAATTTCTGAACAGAAAACTGGGTTAGATATTTGTTATTTTATTTGAATGTATTAGCTGCACAATTCCAATGGATTTATGACTGACATCTAAAACCATCATTGTCTATCTAATTAAACATGACCTCAGAGAAGATGCACCTGCAACAACCACCACCAGAGGGCCCTGAGTACTAAAGCAGGAGAGCCTGTTCCCCACAAACTCAACCTCTATTATTTCTAACCAGGATATCAGGAGGCTGAACTTCCTAGATCAACCGGGCTCTGTGTCATTGTGGGGCGCTCGAGGCAACAGCTGCCTCCGCTGTGAAATTCTGCACCCAAAAGAGATTTGAATTTATTAATCGTCCAGCTCCAGTGGCGGCGGTTTCTCTTAAGCACCCGACCGGAGTGAGAACTCTGACCTCACCTGCTGCGACTACTACTGAAACCAGCAGTCAATCAATCAACCAGAGCCTCTTGGTACTGTAATTGGAAGCCATCTGGCTCAACCAGTGGAAACATGCGGCGCTTACGAAAGCCTCAGTTTTAGCCTGGATATTAGACCTCGCTGGTATATGCGGATTTAGGACACTTTCAGTCCAACCCTCATAGGACCATACTAAGTTGAAAAACAAACATACACATGTCCCAAATGTGCTTTTTCAGGAGGCAACTGGACTTTATTTTTTTCTTCAAAGATGTTTTGCTGCTTGTCCAAGAAGCTTCTTCAGCTCTGACAGGATAGTGGGGAATGAAAATGGTCTTCAAAGAAACCAGAAAGTCCAGTTGCCTCCTGAAAAAGCACCTTTGGATGACCTGGATGACTGAATCTACAGACTTTTAAACATACATGTGTATGTGTATGCAAATTGTTGAGAGAAAAACAATCAGAAAACATTAATTTCTTACATGATTTGCCCTATTAATGTATATTGATTTGTTTTATTGTGGCTTTCAAATACCAACCATAGAGATGTAAATGGAGGTGAAGGGGCTAGTCATACAGTATGTGCCAGTGTTAACCACACCAACCACATTATAAAGGACTGGAAAGAACTGCAGATCAACTGGATGGGGACAATTTAACCTACATTTAGACCAGACAGTTGTGTTTCAGTTGAGAGCATTACACTCTTTCCCCCTTGACTGAGTCCATGTATGATAGGACTGTTGTCTTGATAGCAGGCAAACATTCCGTGGATTTTCCTCTTTAAGATCTGCTCCCAAGGAATGAAAGGCTGGGGGAAGAAATTCTAATAGCTTTCTGGATGCCTTGGTTCTTTAATATGTTAAGCGTTCTGTCAAGGGGGAGCTAGGAAGATGACATTTTCAGCAGGTACAGTTTCAGAGATTTTTAAGAAAAAAGAAGAGAAGGGATATTGACCCCTCTCTGCATTTATGTATGTATGTGTTCTTTTGGAAAGTAGTGTGGGGAAATGTACAAGCTCCTTCACCTTTAAAGATTATTGTGTAAACTGAAGGTGCAGGTCTGGTGTTGCTGGACAATGCTCAGGTCTCCCTTGACTTGGAATTGAGCCCAAATACCTGGTGCTTCTTGATCCAGAAAGTATGACCTGCAGAATAATGGCTGCTGCTTCTGATGGGGGTTATTCCCCAGAGAGTAGCTTGCATATCATGAAAAGGGCTTTTAAATCAGAATTCCCTGCCCCAGCCCCCCAAAAAGAGAATCCCTTTTTCACATAGTCATGCAGGATTATAGTCTACAACATGGGTGTCAAATTGGCAGTGTTGCATTGCCATCATGTGATGTATCACGACGTTTTCCCCCTTTGAAGAGCTGGGGTAGGCGTGGCCTGCATCAGAGGTGATATTCAGCAGGTTCTGACCAGTTCTGGAGAACCAGTAGTGGAAATTTTGAATAGTTTGGAGATCCGGCAAATACCACCTCTGACTGGCCCTGTCCCCATCTATTCTCTGCCTCCCGAGTCCCAGCTGATCGGCTGGGACTCCCGAGTCCCAGCTGATCTTTTGTTGCTCTGCACAGAACAGAGCTGGAAAGCAGGTTAGTGAGGTGGGGAGGGAATGGACATTTTACAATATCCTTTCCTTGCCACACCCACCATGCCACACCCATCAAACAATGCCACTCCCACCAAGCCACGCCCACAGAACCGGTAGTAAAAAAAATTGAATTTTTGATGCATTCAGCCCACGGGCTGCCAGTTTGACACCCCAGGTATACAAACAAGATCGACATAGTTTCTCAAGCCAGAAATCCTATCCCATCGACCATAATAATGTCTCATCACAGGTTTAATTTTGCTCCAGAAGTTGTGGGTGCTCCAACAATGGAGGTTTTTAAGAAGAGACTGAACAACTATTTGTCTGAAATGGCATAGGGTTTCCTACTTGACAGGGGGTTGGACTAGAAGACCTCTTTCAACTCTTGTTATTCTGAAAAGACACAGGACTACCATGAAAAACTATCATGGCTCAGGGATAGAGACAAATATTGAAAATAAAGTTTAAGAACAGAATACTTAGAGGGCAGAGTCCGCTCAGGAATTTTTGTTTAGTGTTTTGGATTTGACAGAACAATTGAGAAAAGAGCATTGTGATCATTGAATCAACTGGAGAGTATACCATCTCTGGAGAAGTCATTACAGTATGAAAGTGACGAAGATTACAATTTTTGTAACTTCAATGCCATTTGCTCAGTGATAATGAGGACTGGTATCTTCCAAGTGGACCACTTATCAGAAAAATGAAGAAGTACTGTTGTCCTAACTTGCCAAAAAACCAAGAGGGAAATTGTAGCACCACCCATACTTCAATGCTGCCCCAACCCTACTCTTCCCTTCACCCTCAGGTATTTTTTTCAGTCAGCTTGGGTGGGAATGTAGTTAAGACTCCCAACCTGCCACAAGATCCCTGTTGGATCAGACCATAGTTCTAGCTAGACTAATTCCTTCATTCCCACAATAGATATGCAAAAGCTTCTGGAATGCCTGACATGAGGGGCAAGACAACACTACCTCACACCTGATTCCCTTAGTAATTTTGGGATTCAGCAAAATAAATGAGATAGTTTAGAATTTTCAATCCTCAGTGAAGCGGTCTAGATCATTTTAAAGCCACCAAACACTACAGACTGTAACACTGAATGGCAGCTGGTCTTGATTTTACCAGTCTTAAACATCTACAATCCATTGGTTTCACTGGGTAATGGCCACATTGGCTGAATACCACAAAATGTTTTGTTTGGGGGAAGCCAAACATCTGAGGAAGGGCACTTCCTTCCCACCCTATCTGATCTTACAAATCTCTTTCCATACCCCCTAATTATTTTTCCTTTTCAACTAAAGTGCCACAAATATTTTAGCTCAGCTGTTTGGGCCTGATGCCTTCCATAAATATCGGGACTACAGATCCCTGAATAGGCCAGGCAACGTGCTGGCTGAGATTTCTGGAAGTCAGAATTCCAGAAAGAAAGTCCAATTTAACTCAAGTGAGCATTATGGAGCTGGCTTCTATATGGTCTCCATGGGTTACATACATATATGTCATAGCCATTCTATTTTAGAATTTCGTCTGAAAACATCCAGCAAGCTTGCTGAAACGATAAAACTAAACCCCACAGCACGGCGCATAGTAGAAAAATCAGACGTACATAAGCTACATTTTTTTTATTTGATTACTCCTAACCATCAACAAAGAAAATCAGAGATTAGAAACTTTTTCATCTCTATTAGTCAGTTGGGGAAAGGGGTCCTAAAACAGAAAAATGCTTGTTTGCTTTAGACAAAAACAAATGGGGGAATAGGACAAAAGCAAAATCGAGAGAAGCATATCATGTCAAACAGGTACCTCAAAAGCAATAAAGCAACAGAAATTCTGAAGGAAACATGACAGTAAAGCAAAGGAAATTGGTTGGGAAACACAGGCAGATAGGATGAGAAAGAGACAGGGTTACAAGACCTTTTACTAATACATCGTCCATCTATAATATTAATCCTCCAATTTGGTGTTTCAAAGAGTGTTGTGGATGTGCAGAATCACAGCATGTTTGCAGTAACTCCACTCTCCCCCCAAGGCCAGGATTCCAGTCCTCTGTGGGCATCTCTTCAGTAAGCATGCCACAGAGTGGGAAGGGCAAGATGGATTCTTCCAGGTGGATTCTTCTGGAACACAAATCTGAGGTAGAATTTGAGGATCGTACAGCAGCTGGAGAAATAATTTACAACCTCAGCAACTGGGAAGACAACCCTCCCTCTATTTTTATCAAACTTCACTGACCATCAGGACTCAAAAGTGGCTTTGCTTGAGGCCTCTCCCATCTATCCCCCACGCTTAGAATTCTCCCTGATGCACAACTTGGCTTTCCATAGCCTCCACCAGCAATCACTTCTTCTCAAGAAAGTTTTCTCAAACTCCAAGCTTCTTCAGGTTTCGCCAGCGCCTTTTTTTCCTCCCCAATTCTAGGGACATCATGCTCCAGTGATAAATGCTAAATGTTAACCTTGCACATCCAGGAGG